AGCTAAATACAGGCAGCTTTATGGACGTTCCCTATGCGCTAAGGACGTCATAGGTTCGGTTTCCCAGCCTCACTGGGATATTGGGTTGAGCCACCAACTGATTTGAAATAGTCAGAAAAAGAAGAAAACCCTCCTCCGCCTGCTGCAAGTCCTCCACTAAGCTCTCACCGCTGTGAAAGCAGAATGGTCAACGGTCCGGTTCGGTGACGTTCCTGAGATGGACAGTCATCCTCCTGACATACCAGTGGGACCTACTAATGGATGTGTCACAACTTCAGCTGTACGTTCCTTGTTATGTAAAAAGGAGCAACCTCTGGCTATTCACCCGGACGGACTGGGCAGGTCGCGATTCACCCTGGGAGGTCCGCAGGCGCGCCCAAGCTGGGGGCGGTGTGCGCCTCTCTTCTGAACCTTACGGTAAGCACGGCGCGCGCCGCGACCACGTGGCGGCGGAGCCGAGGCCGGGCGGGAATGCGCGGAATGCGCGGCGCGGCCCTGGAGCCCCGGCCCGGGTTCCCGCGGCGCGCGCTCCCCCCGCCTTCCCCGGCGGGGCCGCACCCCAGTCCCCAGCTTCGTTTTCCCGACTCCCAGGGCAGGCAATTCTAGCGCAAGCAGGCAGGCGGGGCGTGGGAACAGGGCGCGGCCTTGAGAGCCCCCTAGAACCCCGAACCCCAGAATTCCCCAAAGCCGTGTCCCGCCACTAGCCCCGACGGCGCGAGGCCAAGGGACCCTAGGAAATGCGTGCAGCGCGCTAAGTACGCAAACCCTCTCTCCGCACTTGGAACCCTGCCCCCGCCTCCACCGCCGAAGCAAGAGTTGGGAGCCCTGGAATGTCTAGACGACCCTTAACTAAGACCACCCCCCGCCCCAGCCCTTCCCCAGGGCCAATTCGAAGGATGGGAACGTTTGCAGGGCGTTTCCACGGCACAAAGAAGCAGGCTGGAAGGCTCGAGTACAGGGGGTCCTCCAGGCGGACACTCTTCGGAAAAGACGAGGACCGGGGCGCTCATGACAAGTCCTGAAGGAGGCGGAAGGGGTGCCGCGGGAGCCCGCGGGGGTCTTAGAGAGGCTCCTTCCAGCGGAAGTTTTCCGACGCCTCGTGGGTCTCTCTCTGGGCGGAGGTTGGGCGTCCGGGACGCGGGGCGGAGGAGGGGGCGAGGGGGCGTGGGGTGGTGTCCTGGTCAGCCGCGGGTAGGCTTGGCCGAGGGAGACGCGGGAGGGGTATGGCCTCCTAGGTCGTTATCCCCACCTGCCGCCCAATTCCTTAGCCTTGGCGGGAGGTGGTTACCTGTCTAAATCAGCCGCGGCGCCCGCCCCGCGGCCATTGGTTAGACGCCGGCCAGGGGGCCTGAGCCTAGAGGCCAGGCAATTCTGGTGAACTTTGGGGGTTCGCATTGCTCAGGGCAGCAGGCGGTGCGTTTGAGGGGCAGAGGTCAAGGAGTTCGGATCTCCTTTCATCTCCGAGCGTGCACCTTCTCCCTTGGGACCCCAGAGGCTTTGAGGGAACCGGGCCCCGCCCCCCAGCCTGCTGGGGTTTGCTTTTAGCTCCCTTAATAAGCCCTTAAGGGCTGAGGGACGGTGGTCCCGTCCCCCGCTACCTGCCCGATAGCTTGGGGCGGTGGGAGGCGAGGCTGCCCCAGTTCCCAGCCCGTGATTGTCCGGGTGGGCCCTGGGGCAGGAGTTGGCTCCGGCTTGTTCCGCAGCTTTGGGGCGCAGGGGATCCGCACCGCGTATCCCTGGCGGAGCTGTCTCAGCACGTGGACCGCCGTACGCGCCCCCCAAAAGTGAGCTCTTTGTGGGGGAAGTGAAGCCCCCGGAACCCCGCGGCCCGCACTCGGAAGCGTTTTCCAGAACGACTTAAGGGCTTAACAATGGAAAACTCGCAGAGCTGGAGCCAAGTCCTTTCAAGTCGCCGCCAGGTATGCGGCTGCAGGTGACCCCACCTGTACGCGCCCGCCCGCCAACCGGTCCTCTCCGGGGAGGGCGGGGGCCGGAGTTCTACGGCCGGGGGAAGGTCTCCGCTGGGCCCTGCACCCCCTCCCCAGAGCCCCCCGGCCCGGCGGCGCGCAGCCGCGGTGCGTCCCGGAGTCGGCGCTGCGGCGCGCTGTATCCTGAATGAACGCGCTCCCTTCCCCCGCCGTGAATGAAGGTTCCCACAGCCAGGGACGGTGGCGAAGGCGCCCGCCGCGGAATTGGCCCTCTCGGGGCCGGCGTCCCTCCCAGCTTGCGGTCATTTCGGCGAGGGGACCAGGGGGCGAGGAAAGCGAGAAGGTGACCTAAGTGACTTTTGCATTTTCTTCCCGACCAACTTGGTTTCCCGTTGAGCCACTGGCCCTTTGTTTCAAAGGGTCACCAAGAAATAGCACAGAGCACTCTCAATGAGCCCAGAACTTGTAGTTCCTGCTTCGTGGTGGGTTTTATCAAGGCCGTACAAAATTAAACCTTAAGCAGTGAAGTTTTTAAAAGTTGCTTTTCTCTCTCTCAAAAAAAATTAAAATAAAACGCGTCCCCTGCTCTTCTATAAGCAGCCTTTCTTAAAGGCCCGAAGCTGTTGCCACCACCCCCACCCCCACCCCGGCTCTCCAGGGAACGCGGATCTGGGCTCCCCGGGGTGGGGGCTGGGCGGCGGGCCCTCCCCACTGGGCACCAAATTCCAGCGCCTCCCCCCTGCGGGTTCCTGGACGGCTCTTCACGCTCGGCACCCGGGCTTGCACTTTTGCGCCCGTCCCTGAGCGGGGAAATCAACGAAGTTCCTCGTCTAGATCTGCCCGGCCCGCCTAGTAACAGCGCCGCGCCCCCATTGGCTCATGCTAATTCCAGTTTCCTCCGTCTTTCTCCGGGGTTAGGGGGAAGCTCCCTCCTGGACTTGGAGTCCGTCCCGCCGGAATGGGCGATCCTCTTTACGACCCGCTGCCCCTCGCCGTGGCCAGCCCGCCTCGGGCCCGGGTCCGGGCACACGCGGGGCTCGGGCCCCTTCGCCTCCCGCCCTCCGGGACAGAAGCAACCCGGTGGTAGCGCGCAGCCCCATAAATCATCCCGGCGGCCGCCGGGTCGGGATTTTATGAATGAAAAGCAACCCCGCCGCCCTCGTGCACGGGCTGATGCTCCGAGGCTCCCGCGTGCCGGGGGCCAACGCGAGCCTGGGTGCCCAGGGAGGGGGACACGGCGGTGGGCGCTCCCTTGTCTTGCTATCCGCTCCTCCCGAGGCGTGAGCCCAGGGTAATTACCCTCCTGGACCCGGAATATTAGTAACCCTGATTCTCGGCGGGGGAGGGGCGCGGGAAGAATCAGCTCTGAAAAGTGAGGGGGGTCTTGTCCTGTTGTGTGCGCCCTTGCGAAGGGGAGGGGGGCTTTTTAATCCGTTTTCTTTGAGCCTTTAACGTTAGGGTATCAGATGGTTTGATGACACTAGACTATATTCAGAGGGAAGTTAATGAACAGTTTTCTTAATTTGGGGCAGGTAGAGTAAAAACTAAAAAAAAATGTTAAGACTGGGTAAGATGTCCTTTTATTTTAAAAAATAAGCACCAAAGAGACAATCTCTTCATTTTAAAAAACTATATTCTTTTATATGTCTTATAAGTTTGCTATTAATATTGGGGACTCGCGTATAGCCACGAACATATATAGGTTTTGTTTAAATCATCAGATCAATACACCTATTTCTTTAACTTGTAATTGTTCTGATTGTTGCCAGACCCCCGCCAACAGCCTCAGGCTCACGAATGCAGCCCGTGGGCAAATTCTAAAGGTGAAGAGCGGTCCACACCCCCAACGAAGCCAATTAGGAAGTTTCCGGTGGTCTTGTCCCAGGCGGAGAGGCGACTAATATTTCCAGCGATTTAGCTTAATTTTTAATTAAAAAAATGAATCAGGACAGAGACCACTATTTTGCAGCCTTCCTTTCAGAGTGTTCTTCTAGCTGTTAAAATTGCCGGCACAGGGCGAGGGCGAGGGCGGGGGCGGGGGGGAAGGGCTGGGGGCCGCCCGCAAGAATGGACTAGCCAAGGTAGGAAGACAGCGCGCAGATCCCCCAGGCGAGGAGGACAGGGCAAGGGAAATGCTGGCCACCATCTTGGGCTGCTGCTGGAATTTTCGGGCATTTATTTTATTTTATTTTTTGAGCGAGCTCATGTTAGGCTGAAAGCCCTTTAACTTTTGAGGTTACCCCTCCGGCACTTGCACAGACCCCCCTCGGTGCGGGAATGAAACCTCCACCGGGGTTGTCGGCTCTTCCCTGAGTCCCTGAATGGTAAATAGTTCCTGAAATTTACACGTGTTAATGAAAATGAAAGAAGATGTAGACGCTAAGATTCCTTGGCTGCCTCCGCCCGTGGGTGCCCTCGTGGCGTTCTCGGAAATGCGCCCATTCTCCCGGCTCAGAGTGTCACCGAACCCCAGCGTCCCCCCTCCACGCGGTCTCCCCCAGCTGCGTGTGGCCTGCCCGCCCTCCTAGTTGGCCCCCTCTGCAGAGCCACCTTCACCCAACCCCCCAAATCCTGCGGGACCCACTCGGGGAGGACAGACCCCCCCCAACCCCCGCTCCTGCACCCCTCTTCCTCGGCGGGGATAAAGGCAGCCTTAGGACGGTTTGCATTTCTATGAAAACCCGGCTTCGGGGGCAACACCGCGCGGTGCAGGCGCGGCGCCTCCGGGATGGCTTTTGGGCTCTGCCCCTCGCCGCTCCCCGGCGCTCGGCGCCCGCGCCCCCTCCCCCTGCGCCCGGCCCCCCTCCTTCCCGCTCCCATTCTCTGCCCGGCTTTGATCTCTGCTTAACAACAGTAACGTCACACGGACTACAGGGGAGTTTTGTTGGAAGTTGCAAAGTCCTAGAGCCTCCAGAGGGCTGTCGGCGCAGTAGCAGCGAGCAGCAGCGTCCGCGCGCTCCGGCGAGGGGCAGACGAGCTCGAGGGAGCGCGGGGCAGCAGGAGCCCGAGCCGAGCGCCGACCCAGCCCCGGACCCACCGCCGCCCCCAGGCCACCTAGCCGAGCCCCCAGCCATGGCACACCAGCTCCTGTGCTGCGAGATGGAGACCATCCGCCGGGCGTACCCCGATGCCAACCTCCTCAACGACCGGGTGCTGCGGGCCATGCTCAAGGCGGAGGAGACCTGCGCGCCCTCGGTGTCCTACTTCAAGTGTGTGCAGAAGGAAATCCTGCCGTCCATGCGCAAGATCGTGGCCACCTGGATGCTAGAGGTGCGGGGCTCCGGGCGGCTCTCTTAGCACTTCCCGGCGACTTGCTGCGCAAACCCACTTTTCTTTGCCACTCATCTCCCTCCCTTCTCTCCCACCCGAACTTTGAAGTTTGCCAGAGTGTTGCTAGGAATCGTAGTTCCAAAATATATAGATATTCAGGGTATTTTTTTGAATAAGGAGGGGGTGGGGGTGGGGTCGTTAGATAATTCCTTTCCTGGCAGGGGGAGGGAGGCGGCGGCGGTCGAGGAGGGGTACCCTGGGGGAAAGCCACTGCCCGGGCACCCCAGGTGGCTTCAGGGTGCGGGCCCGCAGGCTGGGCGTCCTTTGTGGCCCCCGCCGGCACCGCCACCGCGCAGCCCCGCTGCGCCTCCTCTTGTGGCCGCGCGGCTGCTGAGCCGCCAGCTCCAGGGGGAGGGGGCAAAGATTTGATTTTTAAATTAATATCCATGGACACGTATGCAAGGGCCGCTCGTGCCAGTATTATGCGCCATCTTTGTTCTTTTATTGCAAAGCAAAGTGTTTATTAATAATTGGGGGCAGGGTGGGGGCGGGGAGCGGCCGGCCAGGCGCTTGGGGCCGCCGCGAGGGGCCGCGCCGCCACCGGGAACCAGCGGGAGGGGCGCGGGGACAGAGCTCGGGTAGTTGTGGGGGGACCCCTCTCGGGAAAGGGGCGCCTTTGTTCAAGCAATGGGTCCCGGGGCGTCCCGCAAGGCCAGCTTGGGCCGGAGAGCACGCCGGGCTGCAAGGTCGCGTGGCCCCCAAGACGCTGGGAATGGACCCTCATTTGCTGGGGTCTCAGCTTGGGGGACCTGTCTGGAGCGAGCTGGGGGCCAGGGGCACGTTTTCGGGCCTTCAGGGAGCTCCCCGGGTCACCGCAAGTATTTTAAAATAATTTTTGAAACTGCGGCGTGGTGCCCTTGCGAGAGGGAAACGGCGCCCGCGCCCAGGGGGAAGGGGGGCCCCCCGAGTTTGAATTCCTGGGGCTCCCCCCTAAGCCCGCAACGAGCTCCTGACTCCCGGCCTGGGTAAAGGACAGTCTGAGGGTCATTTTCAGGGGTTTTTTATGTACCCACTAAATTTTTTTATATTTTTAAATATTTTTTGAAAAGATGACGTCTGGGGAAATGCGGCGCGGCGGCCTGGGACGCCACCTTTGTGTCTCGCAGGCGCTGCGAGCGCGGCGCCCAGCCCCGCGGCCCTCCCCGCGGCCCTGCGCCCCATTTGGTGCCGACCCCAGGTCTGGCGGCTCCCGAAGCACCCACGAGGGCTGGGGTCCCCGGGGCCCACAGCCCGCGAGCGGCACACGCCGCCCAGCCGTGCCCGCTCCCGCCCCCACTGTGCCAGCCTAGCTGGGACTTTCCCTTTCAGTTTCGGGGTAGGTGGGTATTGGGGACTCCCGGGGAAGGGGGGCGCGGCAGCGGGCGGCTTCTGCCGCCCCCCTGCCCCGACCCTCCGCGCGCTCGGGGACCCCGCAGTCCAGCCGCCCTGGCGCGAGTAGGGTCGGGGGGGCGCGAGGTCTCCGCGGAGGGGGCCGGGCGCTCCCTGCGGTGGCGGCGGTCACGGCCCCGGTGTCCCCCGCAGGTCTGCGAGGAGCAGAAGTGCGAGGAGGAGGTCTTCCCGCTGGCCATGAACTACCTGGACCGCTTCCTGTCGCTGGAGCCCGTGAAAAAGAGCCGCCTGCAGCTGCTGGGGGCCACCTGCATGTTCGTGGCCTCGAAGATGAAGGAGACCATCCCCCTGACGGCCGAGAAGCTGTGCATCTACACTGACAACTCCATCCGGCCCGACGAGCTGCTGGTAACCCGGGGACCCCCGCCACGGGTCCCGGACGCCCCGTTAGCCGCGGGACCCTGGGGTGGGGGAGGCGTGGGGATCCCCGGCGGGCCGCTGAGAGACCCTCGGCCCCCAAGGAAGGCGGCCGCATGGGTGGGGCCCCGCTTGAAAAGCGGTGGGGACCCGCATCGCCCCGCAGCCGCGCCGCCGCCCCCCTCGCTTTCTCTCCGACTCCCACCGCCTCTGCGCCCCCAGCGCTGCGAAAAGTTGGGGGCGCGCGCCCTCCAGCGGCGGCGGCGGGGCGGCGCCCGCGCGGTTGACCCGGCCCCGCGTTCCAGGTGTGGGCGGGCTTCTGGTCTCCCCTGGCCCAGGGTGGGCTGCATTTAGGGCAGGACCCTTGGCGAGCAGCACCGTCCCTGCTCATAATGTGGGGGCGCGCGCTGTCCCCCTCACTTCTCGGACCCTCCAGCGACCCCCGTCCCCTCTCCTCGCCCCCTGCTCCACTGTGGTCCGCGCCTGCGCCTCTCTTGACGCACGTTTTCCCCCGGGTCCACAGCACATGGAGCTGGTCCTGGTGAACAAACTCAAGTGGAATCTGGCAGCCATGACCCCGCACGATTTCATTGAACACTTCCTCTCCAAAATGCCGGTGGCCGAGGAGAACAAGCAGATCATCCGCAAACACGCGCAGACCTTCGTTGCCCTCTGTGCCACAGGTAGGGTGCTGGCCCCCGCCGCTGGTGCCCAGGAGGAGCTGCGTGGCCCCCGCCTCAGTTTCCCCGTTGGAGGAGATGGTCCCCGCGCCCCTCGCGCTCTTGGAAGCACTCCTCTGTCCCCTGTTCTGGGGAGCAGAGAGGGCTGGGCTGCTTTTAAGGACTCCAGGGAGGGGGGCGTCGCCTCCTGGGCGGGGAGAGCAGAGGCTGGTCTGTTACCACCCCGTGCCTGTGGCCGCAGGGGCGGGTGGCCAGTCTGCATGTGGCCAGCTGCTGTAGCTTCTGTTCCCCGCGGCGGCAGGGGTCACTCCATGCGGAAAGGGGTCTACCTTGCCTGTCCAGCCTGCCTCCACCCCCCCACCGTGCCCCCCCCAACCCGTTCTTCCTATGTCCTCAAGGAGCCTGAGCTTCGGGGGCCCCCTCCTGGCCTCTCCCGGGCTGGGCCCCCTGCCAGGGGCGCCTCCAGGGGTGGGGAGCGCCGGCCGGCAGTGCCTGGACCACGTGCTCTGGGCCGCCGGCCGCGGCCCTTGCGCGGGGGCGGCCAGCAGAGGCGCTTGGCCGCCTGAGGCCCCGCCAGGGGCACCGCAGGCCGGCTCGCGCTCCTTGCTCTCCCTGGGAGCGGCTTCAGAGCGCCTGGGCTCAGGCCGCTGCGGTTGGCAGCAGGAGCCCTCCCCCCACCCCACTCCCCTGGCACCCTCTGGACCGTCCCTGGGGGACCCTCCCTGGCAGGGCCCTCTTCCCAGCCCCCAGGCGGCCAGTCACTCAGAACCCAGGGAGACACACGTGCTGCCTCCTGCTTCTCCCAGCCCTGCTCCATGAGCCCTGTGACCCCTTCCTCCCTCGGATCCCATGATCTGGGCCAGGACCCCTGGGGACCCTGACCAGGCACCCATGCCCCATCCTGCCCAGCTCTTCTGCGGGCCGTCTCTCCCCCTCACCAGGCCTCAGCAGTCAGACCTGTTTGGGGCTCCCTCTGAGCAACCTGAGGACCACGCTGCACCAAAGAGGGGTTGACATCTTTCACCCCCTCCCCAGAAGGGGTGGGGTCCCCCGCGCGCCATCTGATGTCACCCTGTCCGTGTCCAGGGGCTCTAGTGGTGGCTGAGGTTTCCAGGTTAGGGGAGGTGGAGAGATTCTGCTGCCCCCTTCTTCTGCCTGCTCAAGGCGTGAAGTCCTCTAAGAAGGACACCTCAGAAGTCCTGCCAAGTGAGTGGGGGCAGATGAGAGGCCCAAAACATCTCAGCTTGGATGGATCTGAGGGGGGAGGGTGCCCCCTCCCCTGGCTTTCCTGCCCCGCAGCACCCGCCCTTGGGCAGGGACCGTGTGGAAGGGGGGGCTCTCACGCGTGTCTCCCCGGCCTCCAGGGACCAGCCCAGCCGGGCAGGGAGGCATTCTCTGGCTGGGACGCCTCTGAGAAGAGAAGCCTCCAGAGATTTGCAGGCAGCCTTTTATGGAGCTGAAAGCGGTTCAGAGAAATGACCAAGTTCCCCGCAGATAATGCAAGGAACGGTTCTTGCACACGCTCCCCCAAGGATAGCTGGGACAGCCCGGAGCCCCTCCCCCCAACTCCCGGGACCCTGGGAAGTGGGGTGTGTGACGTGGGTGGGGTGCAGACAGTGCAGAAGCTGGGCACAGAGGCCGTGCCTGTGCGCGGTGCCCGCGCTCTGGCAGCTGTCTGAGAACCGGCCCAGCCAGCGCCCCTGACCTGGAGTCATAGATACCTGGGCACACCTGGGGCGAAGGTGGGGGGATGGCCCAGGGTGACAGCATTTCATCTGCAGCAGCATCGGGGGGGGGCCGGGGAGCAGCACCCCCCAGCCGGGTCCTGAGCTGTTGAACTTACATGGCGCAGCTGTGTGCTTTAGTCACAAGGCGGGGGGTGAGGGGGGTCTCTTAAGATGAGAAGGGCATGTTACAGCCTCAAACTGGTTTTGTGAAGTGGAGGCGTGAGTACGCGTCCCAGGAGTTGCTTTGCCCTCCACATGGCAGGAGTCCCTTTAAAAGGTGCTGGGGAGGGGGGGCGGGCGTCTGGCAGACCTAGGTTCCTGACTCGGTGCCTGGGGTGGGGGGCACGTCACCCACACGCCGGGTGGGGTTCGCTCTGCTGATGTGTGTGTACATGTGTGCGCACTGTGCGGTCAAGTTGCTCAGTCGTGTCCAACTCTTCGCGACCCCGTGGACCATAGCCCACCGGGCTGCTCTGTCTGTGGGCGTCTCCAGGCGAGAATACTTGAGTGGGTTGCCGTTTCCTTCTCCAGGGGAATCTTCCCGACCCAGGGGTTGAACCTGGGTCTCGTATCACCTGCTCTGACAGGCAGCTTCCTTACCAGCAGTGCCACCTGGCCCGCGTGTGTACGCAGTGGAGCGTTTCTTGTGAGCAGCGCCTCCTTGAGGTTGGCACGGCACCAGGCTGGGAGAACAGGCCTGAGTGGGCCGGCTCCGACGCCCACCCCAGCTGTTGCCCACTGGAGTCGCGGCCGCTCAGTCGCGTCTGACTCCGCGGCCCTGTGGGCTGGGCAGCAAATAGGAGCAGCTGTTGGAAGCTCCCGGTTGAAATCTGTGCACCCTCACCTCAGCAGACAGGGCCCCCAGGGCGCCTGCAGACGTGCGCACTCGTGTCATCCCTTCCCTGCTGGACGGGGCTTTCCAGGCGCGGCCCGTCAGAAGCTGTGCTCCGGCCACAGCGACGTCTGAGATTCTGATGGGCCTGATGAAATGCTCTCAGGCTGGGTGGACCTGCTCCTGTTTTGGGGGGGGGTTGCACAACTCGCAGGGGCGTTTCTTTTTTAAGTGGTTAGAGCGCCTAGCCCCAACTTTGTCTCCCCTTCAGGGCTGGCTGTCTTTTCCCCTCCCAGCCCTTCTGCGGGCTCCTGCTCCCTGGAAGGAGACCCGGCTGTTTGCTCTTACAATGAAGCCTCAAGCCAGGCTGCGGGGCGGGGCGTGCCCCCCGGGGGTCCCACTGCCTTTGTGCCCTGTCCCCTCCCACTCAGCTCAGTGGGGCAGGGTGAGGCGGCGGGGACTGACCTCCTAAGGGCCCGACTCCAGGCCAAGAGGCCCCGCCTTGTGCAGATGCTGAAATCAGCGGCCTCCCGCCAGTCATTCCTCACTGAACACGACAAAGGGGTAGCCTGCAGGCCCTGTGGCTTTCCCACCTCCCACGACACTGTTCCCCCTGAAGGGAAGCCAGGTGTCAGCACAACAGGGAGTGGCCGACAGGTGACTTTGACCAGGCGCTCCCGAGGCAGCCAGCCTCCCCACCACCACCCCACCGCCTGGGGTGGGCACTTGCCCAGCAGCGTGCAGAGAGCTGCTGAGGACAGGCGGATGCAGTCATGAAGTCACGCTGCACCCCTCCCAAGTCCCTGGGGGCGGGTAAATGCAGTGAGCATCTGGGCAAGTCTCCCCGCGTGGAGGATGGCCGCCCCGGTGCTTGGGGTGAGCGCTGCAGAGAGACGCCACCCTCCTGGGCGTGCCCCACCTTCTTACGACTCTTCTTCTGTATGCTTGTGTGAATAAACGACCCATTCATGGGCTTACTTGCCAAGAGGCCTCCGCCAGCGGTTCTCCTGGCCTGCTTTTCTGGTGTCTGTAAATGAGCATCGTGGGCCATGTTAGGGAGCCTGAGCTGACTTCTCTCTCTGCCGCCCAGGGTGATGATCAAGGCTGGGGCATGGGGAGCCTCGCCTACTTCCTGACCATCCCTTTGAAATCTGCAGGACAGGCCGGGGCGAGGCGGGCTGATCACAGGATCCGGGGGCATCCCCACTCAACCCCTTTGGTTCTGTCTCCCCCTGCCACAGACGTGAAGTTCATTTCCAACCCGCCCTCCATGGTGGCCGCCGGGAGCGTGGTGGCCGCGGTGCAGGGCCTGCACCTGGGAGGCGCCAACGGCTTCCTCTCCTATCACCGCCTGACACGGTTCCTCTCCAAGGTGATCAGATGTGACCCGGTGAGTGACCCGCTCCCGCGTGGGCAAGGGGCCTGCCCGGCTCTGGGTGCTAGAGGTCGTCAAGGGCCTGGGGAGCAGGGGCCGCGTGGAGGATGGACGGACCGGCCGCTGTCTGCGTCCGGCCAGGGCCAGGCTGCAGCCCTGGCAGAGTGCCTGCGGGCACGCCACGCCCTTTCCCGGGGTTGGGGAGGCGGGGCTCCTTTGGGGAGAAAAGACTCCGGAACTTGTCAGTGGGTAGGAGGGTGGTCCCCGGGGGCCCCCGGAGCCTAAACCCCTCCCGGGTGGGGGAGCCATCCAAGAAGAGGGGCCACGGGCAGGCGGGGTCAACGGTCCGTGCCCTAATGCCGTGTGGGGTGGGGACCGTTCGGGCTTTGTCCGGGCGACAATGTGGATGCCCGATAAATGGATGCTTTACAAGGGCTCCTGTGAGGTCTCCCTCCATGGTGAGCCTGCTCCAGACAACTTGTTTTTATGGCCCCTTTTGAGAGGCTGCTTCTGTGAAAGCTGGAGTCCATTGTCTCTTTCTCCTTAAAGGTGCCATTGTCTTATCCCCCATTCTTTTCCTAGACAATTAAAGTGACAATTACAAGGGTCGGGGGCATTTACCAAATTAGACCAGCAAGGTTTGGTGCGGGGGGAGTCACACCGGCCCTGCAGGGTCCCATGGGGGAGCCAGTGACCGCCTTGACCCTGGCCCAGGTCCGGCTCGGGCTGCTGGTGGTCCCCTCTCCAGCAGGCGGGAGGCAGAGGAGAGCGGGGTGTGGGGTGGACGCTCGCCTGACCTCTGCCAGCGGCCCTTGGCTGCGGCCTGCGTGACCCCCAGAGGAGGAAGCTTTCCTGTTTGGAGCCATGGGCATCTCGGAGAGGGAGCCCCGTGGAGAGGGAGCGGGCATCTTGGCCTCACTGCCAGGGGTCAGCCTCGGCTAGAAACGCCACGGACGGTGCTGTCCCCAGACAGTTGTAGGAAACGGCTGCGTGACCCCTGAGTTGAATAGAGATTGTTGTAATTAGACCTGAGACAAAGGCTTCCCGGCTGAAGGACGGGGCAGTGGGGGAGTCGTTAGTCTGGTTACCGGGTGACAAACGGCACTGAGCTTCAGACCCAGAAAGTTCTCGGCGGTGGAGGCGTGGCCCCGTCTGCCTTCCACGGGATGAGGCTGTGAGGCTGAGGGGGGCCCTTCCTGTACCCCTCTTCTCTAGCTCCACTGCACGGCCCCCCGAATTACAGGGGCAAGTGAGCTATCTCCGGGAGGGGAGAGGGGGGCTTCCTGCTCTGGTGGGGAAGTGGGAGGGCTTTCCGGAGGCAGAGGTGGGTGTTTGGATGGGAGTCTGAGGGGGGTGTCGGCAGTCTTGGGTCCCCTGCCCAGTTTCCGCCTCTGTAAAATGGGGCCATGTGCACATACATGCCTTTTTCCTTTGCTGTGATGAATATTGAAAAGGTGTCTCGGAAAGCCTCCCCAGCCCATAATGCCTGTATCTGTGGGAGGTCCCCAGGGGTTCACTCAAGCCCTCCTGGTCCAGCTTCTCTTCTCTGGGGCAGTGTTCACCGTTTCCAGCCCCACCTAGGTGGATGCTGGGGGTGCCTTCCCATGCCGAGCCTCACTTTTGTGGGAAAGTCTTGGGTCTGGGTTCCAGGCTGCCCTGAGGCCTTCTCCTGGTTCCAGGAGAGAAGCCCCGTGTGGCCTCTCTGTTCAGCCCTGGAGTCGTGGCCACCGGACTGCCAGTGGTGCCTTCGAGCTGCTGGGAGATCTGCCCCGGGCAGCTCCTCCTCCGCCTTGAACGCGTGGGGTGATCACTGCAGGAGGAGGTCTGTGGCGGGCAGGAGCCGAGCTCGGCCGGAGCATCTCCAGGGATGCAGGTCCAAGCAGGAGAGGATGGCGGTAAAGGACCCAGGTCCCCCAGGGCCGCCCAGCGTTCATCCTGGGTCATGCACGGCCTAACACTTTTGACAGCCACTCATCATGTGAGGCTGGGTTCACCGCCAGGGCTGACACAACAGAGGTTAAGTCCGAGAAGCGGGGGCTCAGAGGGCCTCCGGTCCAGGCTCTGCTGAGGGGGCCGAGGTGGGCCCGTGGGAACCTGGGGTCTGGGCTCTGGGGGGCTCCGGGCAGGCGAGGCAGGTGGGCAGGGTCACCTGTGGCCACCGGAGCCCCTGGGTCCTGAGCGGGCTCGCCACCCCCTGGGCGATCTCTGGGCTCCTCAGGCCAGGGCAGGGGGCAGCTGGTGGCCAGAGAGGCCCGGCACTGTGGGTCCTGGGGCCGGGGCAGCGTCCTCAGCGTTTGAGGCTCGTGGAGACCCCTCTGAGAGCCCCGCGCCCACCCTCCTCTCCCAGGACTGCCTCCGCGCCTGCCAGGAGCAGATCGAAGCCCTCCTGGAGTCCAGTCTGCGCCAGGCCCAGCAGCAGAACTTGGACCCCAAGGCCGCCGAGGAGGAGGAGGCGGAGGAGGAGGCGGACCTGGCCTGCACGCCCACCGACGTGCGCGACGTGAACATCTGAGCGCCGCGGCGAGGGCGGGCCGCAGCCGCCCGGCCGGGCCCCTCCTCACCGTCCTGGCGTCTTCCTTCGCTCTTTCTCCCTTCCGTTTCTGACATAAGCAAAAGAAAAAAAAAGTACCCGAAAAGCTGTCTTTAAAAAAAAAAACAAAAAAGGAGAGGAAAAAAAAATAGTATTTACATAACCCTGAGCTGGAGAGAGGGGAGAGGGTTGTGCTACAAAAACAGAGGATTTTATGCCCCGTAATCAGCTAGCTTTGATATTCATGTGTTTGTGTCTCCGTGTTGTAAGAATAGACATTAACACAGAGCGAGTCTGCGGGAGAGGATTAGATTTGATTCTTTATGTGTTTAAAACAAACAAAAAAAAGCTTAAAAATGTTTCTTAAAAAAAAAAATAATAGAAAAAAGTCCACATCCCATTTTTAAAGTAGAAGAGGATTTTAGGTAGGGGAGCATACTCGTGTGCTTTTCTTAAGGACACGGCTTTAAAGCAGTTCTAGGCATCCTGTATCTTGCTTACGCATGTAGTCACTTTATAAGTCATGTGTTTATTTTATTTTGTAGGTAGGCGTGTAACCTTCACCTTGTCAATGGTTGATGTAATGTAACCTCTCAGCTAGGGTAGCATTAGAGCTCGGCATCTTGGAAAGGCTAATCCTCTTTCTCCCTGTGGACTGACCATCAGAGGAGTTTGTCAGGCGCCGGCTTGCATCACGGTGATGGAAGGCCGCCACCAGCTCCTCGCGTCCACTACCAGAAAGAGAAACTGCAATAGTGACCTAATATATTCTATTTTTATAATCTTCATATTTTTGTAGTTAACCTGTTTATGAGATGCTGGTTTTTTTTTTTTCTCACTCAACAGACCTGCAGCCTGCTTATATCCAGGTGAAATCTACAGCTGTTCTGTTTTGTTGTTTTTTTTTCCTTTCTCGATATTCCAAAACCATTCCATTTCAAAGCACTTTCAGTCTCTAGGTGACATCTCTGCTTCTGTGGTGTGTGGAGGGCGGGGAACAGTTTCCTAATGGAATGGTTTGGGGATATTCCAGTACTAGGGTGCAGGCAGGACGCAAAGGCAGGTGCTTGACACTGTGGTGTTAGCGGGAGGGGGTGGTGATACTTTGGAGGGCTAGGTTCTGGTCGAGGAGAAGAAAGTGTGCATTCATTCTTCACGTTGCCAGGATGGTGTATTCCTTTCCTTTTCTGTAGAGAAGCTGAAGTTTAGGAATCCTTCAGTGCCAACTGGTGTTTGAAAGTAGAGGCCTTAAAGGTTTACCTAGAGAACCAGCAGTTTCAGAGTTAACTTTAGATGTTTTGCAACGGAAGGTTTTTAAACACTAAAATATATAATTTATAGTTAAGGCTAAAAAAGAATATTTATTGCAGAGGGTGTTCGTAAGGCCAGTATGATTTATAAAGTAATGCAATCTCCCCTTGATTTACACACACATACACACACACACGTACACACTTTTCTGCCTTAGATGTTGCAAGTGTAGGACAGTTTATTAAAGTTAGATCCTTTTGTAGGAAAGGGGGGAAAAAGGTCCCGAGAGGAAAACACAAAGACGTGAATTTAGCTGATCTGGCCTGTTTGGTGTTTCCCAGAGTGATCCAATTGGAGAGGCATCAGGTTCAAGGACAAGTAGGATGTTTGGAAACAAGTTCAGTTCTAATACGATCTCCGACCCCTCCTTTCATAAAAGAAACTTAGCAACAGATAGGTAATTTGCACATCTTGGCTATGTACCTTTTTTTAATCATTCTGTAGGGAGTGTTTGAAGGGAGCGAGGAGGTGAGCGCGGATGTGTGCGGAGGGGAGGTGGGCGGGGACCATGCGAGGGACAGGCTGCGGCTCCGTTTTCTTTATTCGCTGCTACCGATGACTTCCCAGAACAGTTTGGAAACATTCACATTGCTTCTCTTTATCTTTCACATTGTTTTGCTGCTATTGGAGTATCAGACTTTTTTGTTTGTTTGTTTTACAATGTCATATACTAGCCATGTTCTAGTTTGAATTTTCTCATAGAAAAAAAAAATGTATTACGGATGCCTTTTTTTTGTAGGTTTTTTTTTTTTATGTGATCAATTTTGACTTAATGTGATTACTGCTCTATTCCAAAAAGGTTCCTGTTTCACAATACCTCAAGCTTCACTTAGCCATTTGCAGACCAGGCGGTCAGGCTCTGTCTGACCCACGGCCTCCTGCTTCGGCAGACAGACACGTGGACGAGAACCCAAAAAAAGGGGCCCGGTGGGGATCCCCGACCCCCGGCCACGTTCATGAGGACCCCTGGGCGTCTCTGGAGACAGGCCGCGTCCGTTTCCTCTGCCCTGCGCCTGTAATGCTGGACTCTCCACCTGAGATTGACCATCCAGTAGGTTTTTTACGGCTGTATCGTTCTTTGCGTATAGCTATGAAAACTGCATTATTATTGTTGTTGTTGTTGTTGTTGTAACAAGTGTGTCTTCATGTGCCACGTGGTGCTGTGCTGTAGGACTTGGTCATTTGGCATGATTGCAATCGCCCCCAGACTGTGCTTCGGTTTGGGGTGTGTTGTATGTGTTATATTAGTGTTCTGTTTGTGGTTCTGGTCATTATAGCAAAAAAAAAAAATAATAATTGCTCATTTAAAGAGACTTCAGATCTCAACGATAAGCCAGCTAACGGGGCTGTGTGCCCGAGAGCCGCCAAGCACGCTGCCGAACCAAAAGGACTTGCACCGTCCACCGCGGCCCCAGGCGGGGCAGCCGCAACCCCCAGGCCCCTGGCTGGTGCAGCCCCCGCCCCCCGCCCACCCTGCAGCCGACCCGCTTGCGCTTACCTCAACCCTCCTGGCTGCGGCACCTCTGTCTGAACCAAACGGGGTCCGAGCAGGACAGTCTGCCGGTGGCAGGGGGTGGGGGAACGTGTGTGCTCTGAGGCCAAAGGCGGGGGCAGGTCTGGGGGCACAGGCAGTCTGTCCCGGGACTGGCGAGTGGGCGGGGGCGGGGGGGTCCGGGCGGGCGGGCGCTTGGGGGTCTGTGTGTTTATGGTCGCACACCACGGTGTTTCCCAGCACAGACATGTAACCGGCACGTTTCCAGCAGGAAACAAGACAAACGTGAAAAGTCTAGAAATAAAATTGGTAAAACCCCAGCGCGGCGCCTGCTTGTCTGTTTCCTGGGGCGGGGTGGCAGGTGGGTCACTGCGGGCACCGGGGCCGGGTCCTCTTGTGGCGGGGGCCACCCCGGGCGCCGTGGGGTGTCGCGGGGTGTCTGCCCACCTCCCTGGCCTCCACCCGCTAGGTGACAGGACGTCCAGTCGTGACAGCCAAGAATGCCTCGACGTGTCAGTGGTCCCCTGGCGAGAAACAGGAGGGAATCCAGACCAGAGGTCTGCGGTGGGGGGCGGGCCACGTGGGTCCCCGGAGACGGGGGATGTGCCTCCAAGCGGCCCTTACCGCTTCAGACAGCAGCTGGGGGCCCAGTCATGTGACCGTACTGTCCCCCGTGGATCAGCCCACGTCTGGCCAGTTCGCCCCCTCCAGTTATTTGCAGATAGTCAAGTAAAGTTGGCATTCCTTAACTCTTCTGGCACAAAATGCTGTTTGCTCTAGGTGAATCGTGGCCCCAAGGGGCCCTGAGCCCGCGGGAGTGATGTGAGTGTCCAGTCTGCCGTCCAGTGGCCTCTGCCCAGACCTGGCCACCTGCGAGGCCTGCTGGTCACCTGCGAGGCTGCCCCTGGGCTTCAGAGGCCTGCGAACTGCCCACATTCCCACCGCCAGGTGGACATACTATGTGAATCTTGGTCCCAGCCCTGCGGGGCCTGGGGCCTCTTCTCAAAGCCTGGGGGTCCCTGAGGTACCCTCTGTCCACCCTCTCCCCCACAAGCGTTCACTGAGCCAGGAGCCAGGAGCAGGCCTGGGTCACGTGGCCAGTCTGCCTCTACGCACCAGGTCAGCTCTCTGCAGCCCTTATGAAGCGCCTGCCGTGTACCAGACTGCAGGGGTGGGGGTGGGGGGCCCCATGAGTCCATGGAGCCTGTAGCTTCTGGGGGGGGTGGGATGGAGGGGCTTGAATTGCTGCTTTGCCGGCTGGATTGGGGGATGGAGGCAAGGAGGGTGCTCTGAAACAGTCCGTACTGCAGGGGCGGAGGGATGGAGCTGCAGCGGGGGGCGCCTGAAGGCCGAGGGATGGAGCTGCAGTGGGGGGCGCCTGAAGGCCGGGCCAGTCTGCTCCCCTACGGTGGCTCACCCCGGGACGTGCCCTGGGGCCCAGAGACATCGGTGGTTTGTCCCCCCAGACCGCAGGCCTAGAGGGGCCCAAGCGAGGCTCTGACACCATCAGGGCCTGGGGGATCTTGAGGGGCAGTTTCGGGGGGAGCAGGGCTCCCTGTTAGCTCTGTGGGTAGAGAGCCCGCCTGCAACACGGGGGACACAGGAGGCAACAGGCTCCGTCCCTGGTCGGGAAGATGCCCTGGAGAAGGAGCTGGCGACCCTCTCCAGTCTTCCTGCCTGGAGAATCCCGTGGACAGAGGAGCCTGGCTGGCTGCAGTCCATGGGGTCACAGAGAGTCGGACGCGACTGAGTACACACCTTCCTAGAGGCAAGAGTGATTGCATTAAGTTCCAGTGAGAATTGACAGAGGAAGCTGTGGGCGCAGCGGGTGGGGGGAGGTGGACGCCGGGGCAGCCGGGGCTGCGGGCTGTTGTATGGAGTCTAGGGTTTCAGGTGGAAGATGAGTTTGTGGGCTGACAGGTCAGACAGTGGAAGGAAGAGGGTGTGATAGGAAGGCGGCCCTTGTGTGCGGAGCAGGGGAGGGGGGGAGGCAAAGCCGGGGGCCTGGTGTGGATGAGACGCGCGACCCCCAGCACACAGAGGGTCCGGGCTGAGGGTCCTCCGGGGCCCGTCTTTCGAGCGGGGTGGGCTCCCCTCAGGTATGCTGCAGCCCAGAGGGGTCCCCGCCTGGGACGGCAGTGAAGGCCCCATCCCCTGGCGGTCTGGCTGCCCTGTGCCTGTCATGAAAACAAACGTGGGCCTTAGAGGGGCTTCTGAGACAAAGCTGTCCAATGTTAGTCCACCGCCCCCTTCCGGAAGCCTGGTCTCAGTTGGGCCTACAGCCACTCACCTGGGGCCTCCCCACCTCCCAGCCAGTCTCCCTGCCTCGGCCAGCCCCTCCACCCTCTGCCAAACCTCAGTGGGGCTTCTAGCTCCTTCCGGCTCCATCCGTGGTCCTGGGACCTGGGCCCAACTCCAGGGCCTTGCCCCCATCTCCCCCAGCCCCCTCTAGCCCCGAAGTTCCTGCCCTCAGGACTGAAGGACACGCCAGATGACTAGACCACCTCCAGTTTTGTGCCTGGAGTCCCCTCCCCCCGCCCTCCCCCAGGCTGACCAAAAACCCTCTGTGAGAATTCCCCACCTGGCCCTGACGGGCGACTCTGGGTGGTCCAGGAACCATCACACGTGGTGCTTCCCCGCTCTGGACAGTGAGCCCTGGAAGGCAGCCGTCTGGCTGGTGGGGCACGCCCCTGGCTTGCATACAGTGGGGCGCGTGGAGATGTAGAGGCCCTTCAGGACCCAGGTGTGGGGGGCAGGCCCCCTGTGTTGCGAAGAATCCAGGGCTGGGGGCTCCCCTGGAGCTGGGCAGCTCCTGACCCTGCTGAGGAGGCTCAGTAAGCCCCGGGACACAGCCTGTGTGCTAATGCCGGGGGCGGGGGGTGGTCCCTGGGCAGGCATGTTTACAGAGGAGGTCACAGTCAGGGACCTGGGTGACCACAGCCGGGGGCCAGGCTCCCACCTCCACCCCACCCCGAGCCTGTCCCCCTGGAAGCCAGGCAGCCGTATCTCTGGGCCCTGCAAGTGCCAGGGGTTGGCTGTCCCACCGTGAACCCAGTCCCAGCTCCAGGGGTCGGTGGTGGGGGGCGCCTGTGTGGGGTGTGTGTCCCGCACGCTGGGCCGGCCTCCCAGCGCACAGGGCTCTGTCATCCCAGGAATGCCTTTGATCAGGAGTTGGTGCAGGGGGGACGCAAGCCGGCCCCTGGCCTCTAATCCGTTCCCACAGTCCCCCTGCCCGCCGGCCCCTGCCCCGAGCCACACCGGGGCCCAGGAGACAATAGCCGCGGCCGGTGGGCGGGCAGCTCGGCAACGGGGGCTGGAGGCCCACATCCGGGGGCATTGTCGCCGCCAGCCCAGGGCGCACGGGGCATGGGGGAGCTCTCACTGAAGGGCTGCCGCCGGCCAGGGCAGCTCAGCTCGTCCTTACAAGCTGCAGCTAACAGCAGCCGAGATGGCCTCCCCAGGGCAGTCCTCCAGAACAAGACCCGTCTAGCTGGAAGGTCAGCCCACATCCTGAAGCTCGCCAGGTGGTGGTCCTCCTGGTCCCATCGTGGGAGGACAGTAGCTCAAGTTTACCAGTCACGCCCCGGGGACCAGATATCGTGCTATGGGTCAAACACATCACCTCTCCCTAAATCTTGAAACAGCCCCCAGGGGTTGCTGACAGGCAGGGGGCACGCTGAGAATGGGCCCTGCGGAGCCCATGTTCGCTCTGGGAGGGACAGTTACCCCATCTTCCAGGTCAAGGGTTGGCAGGCTTTCCACAGAGGACCAGGCCAGGCAGTGGGCGTTCGGGGCTTCACAGGCTGTGTTCTCCATCCAGCCCCTTGAACCTGCTGCACGGAGCCCTGGGCACAGCCGGCCTGGGTCTGGGTGAGGGTGGGACTGCGCTGACCGCTGCAGGTGTGGAAACAGCCCCAGAAAGGTGAAGCCACTGAGCCGGGACCACACAGCGGGGAAGTGACGGGGCCAGGCCAGTGGCTGGGTTTGTGTCTCTAGGGCCTGCACCGCACCCCCCTCCCCCATCGGTCAGCCTGGCTGCCCTGCTGAGGACACAAGGTCTTCAAAGATGCGCTGGAAGAAAATTCACGAGGCCTTCATTTGCGTATTTTCACCCAAGGCCAGTCCTAAAGGAAATCAACCCTGAATATTCATGGGAAGAACTGTTGCTGAGCCTGAAGCTCCAATACTCTGGCCACCTGACGGGAAGAGCCGACTCATTGGAGAAGACCCTGATGCTGGGGAAGACTGAAGGCGGGAGGAGAAGGGGACGACGGAGGATGAGATGGCTGGATGGCATCACTGACTTGATGGACAGGAGTTTGGGCAAACTCCGGGAGGTGGTGAAGAATAGGGAAGGCTGGCGTGCTGCAGTCCATGGGGTCGCAGAGTCAGACACGACTGAGCGACTGAACAACCACCGCCCTGCGCTTAGTGCATCCACTCGGGGCCCTGATGTGCCCAGAGGCCCAGGGGTCGGGGTCAGGTCCACCCACATCCAAGGCTTCTAGTCAGCGGTCCCTGTGGTCAGCGTAGGATCTTGGTCAGTGGGCCTGGAGAGCGGAGGCCAGGCGTGCTAGCAGTGGCATCTGATGTGGTCAGTGCTTGTTTGAAAGACACACCCTCTACCACATGAGCCCGTTCAGAGGAAAAGATCCAGGAGGTGGATGTCAGTTCTGCAGCTTCCAGGCTGTGCGGCTTCTCCTTCTGGGCCTGGATTTCTTACCCAGAAGATGGGGATTGTCGTGGGACTTCCCTGGTAGTCCAGTGGTTGAGAATCATCCGTCCAGTGCAGGACACATGGGTTCGACCCTGATCGGGGAGCTAAGATCCCACATGCCTTGTAGCAACTAAACCTGCGTGCTGCCACTGCTGCGCCCTCGACACACAGCTACTAATAGAAGCCCATACACGGCAACAAAGATCCAGCAAAGCCAAAATTTAAAAAAAAACAGAAAGAAAGAAAGCTGGCAACAGTCCTGTCTATAGGAATGGAGGCTCCAGGAACGCACGCTAACGTCTGTGACACGCCCAGCAGGGAAGCGAGCGGGGCTGTCTTCACTGCCCGCCTCCAGGGGTGACGGGGGGAACCGATGACTCGAGGTCCATGTGGCCCTGAGCACACACCTGCTGCACGGGCCTCACTCAGTAAATGTCCCCGTCCCGCCAGGGCCACCGCCGTCACCCCATGCAGTGTCCAGCTGAGCAAGGAGGCCCCACTGGTCCCCGAGGGTGGTCAAGGCCATGCTTATTACCCTCCCCCGGCAGGTCCTGGTCTCCATGCCTCTCTTGCTGTTGCCAGCCCTCAGATTTTGTTCAGTGGGAAGCACCATTCTCAGCTCCGTGGCTTTGGGGGGACTGACCCCCTCCCCGGCTCCAGGATAGGTGCTGAGGGGCTCAGAGCCTACGGCACATCTGCCCCCTGGGAAGAGTGGCAGGTTCAAGGGTAGATGTGAAATTTAACAGCCAGCGAGATTCCGGGGAGAGATTTTTCTGGAGCTTCTGGCAAAGAGAGCCCTCCACCCTGATCCTTATGGCTCCGGGGGTTGGCACGGCCCTTCCGCTGCCTCGTGGGGGGCGCCCCAGGGAGCTTCAGCCACGGAGTGGAGCCTGAGCGCAAGCTTGGTCAGGCAGGAGAGCAGGAGGGGGACCAGGCCTCCAGGAAAGCTGCTGGATCGAGCCAGCCCCTTTGTTCTGGGAGCCCAGGACTGTTCCTTACCGTTGGAGTTCGTCTGATGTGGCCTTCCCGGCATTTTCAGAGCTTAACTGCTCCACACTCTGCATGTTTTTGACCTATTTCCAAAGAAGGTCCATTCCCAGGTGCCAGGGGCTGGAATGTTCTCGTGTCTTTTAGGGGACACAGCTCAACCCAAGAGGTGTGTTTGAGCTCTTAAGAGCTAGGGGGCACATTCGTGGAGCACCCCATGATCTCAGGGGTTCATGTCCACGGAGTAAAACGGAAGTTCAGTAAATCCTGGCTGAAAGGGCGGAGACATCCGCCACCAAGCCTTCAGTTCTGTGGCTGTTTACCGGAGTGAGAGGTTCCCCGCTCCATCCCACTCTAGTCGGCAGAGACAGGATTACGTTCAGGTGTCACTACAACCCCGGTGACCCACAGCCCAGCCAATCTGATCACGGGGACCTCCAGGGACCGACCAGCCAGGGCCTGGACGTCAGGTGAGGAGTGCAGTCACCATCAGGGCTGCAGGCAAGAAGCAACTGTCCTCCTTGGAACAGTGAAGTCCCCACTGATCCCCTTAGTCCTGGTGGCGCGGACAGGACCCTGTCGCCCTGGGGTCCCGGCCCGGCATCTGCACGCTGCTCATGTCCTGGGGAACTGAACATAGCGCTCGCTTTTCTCTGCTTGATCAGACCCACTTGGGGACTCGTTTCCTGGGCTGCAGACCAGTTCCTCACTTCACTCACTAAGGACTGGAATAACTGTGGAATTGGGACCAACTTGCCTGTTAACTTGCAGGTTTTGATCTCTCCAAACTACAGGGTGTCCCCATGTAGGGTGGAAGAGACACTCTCCGGGGTGCTGAGCTCAAACAAAAGCTCCCAAAGTGAGCCGTGCCAAGGTCACCTCCTCCAGGAAGCCTTCCTGCTTTCCTTCCCACTCCCTTATTCCCCAGGCAGAGCTGAACACAGCACCCCGCACACACACACTTCCAGGCTCCCCGCCCATACTCCGTGAGCCCTGCTTACAGGGTTGGGCGCAGGTGCTGGTCCGTCCCGTTCCCGCCTCTACGGCCACAGCCAGCGCGGGTGCCGTCCCATAAATCCGTCTGCCTCCACCCTAGTCAGCTAGATGCAAGACTGGTCACACAGACAGGCTGTGAGTTATCAGGAAAACGAGGCTCTGTTCTGGCTAAGAGTAACTCATGCAGACCGCCCGATCCCCGCTGTGCTCAGTGAGGCCTGAGTCTGGCCACTTTCTGCAGCCGTCGGGTTCGTCACTCAGCTCAACCGGGTGCCCCACGCCTCCATCTGCAGGGGCTGGGGGGCCAGGGGGACAGTTGCCCCTCCTCGCAGGCTTTGTGGACGCTTCAGGGACCTGAGGAAGGTCAAGGCGGCCCCCGGCAGCCACACGGATAAGTCGAGACTTCTTATCCGTCCCCCAGATCCCTCCATTCTCTCCTCACCACTGGGTGGAGAAACACAACGGGATAAAGGTGAAATAACTACGTGTGGCGGGCTGCAATCCCGCCTCGGGTGGGTGCAAAACCCTTCAGCCATCACAGTGCCTGAGAGCGTAGCCCCAAAGGCTAAGTTCAGCTGGAAGGTAGACTAGTCTGCTTATTCCCAATTACAATGTTCGAGAAAAACCAGACGGAGTGACTTCAACTTTTAAGTGGAATGGCCTTCTTCTCTTCCAAGTTAAGTCTGTCCAGGCAGCCAGACAGGGTGGATCTTATGGGCTGAATGATGCCCCAACATTCATGGTGGAGAATGGATCCCCAGGACCTCAGAATGTGACTGTATCTGGAGATGGGAACTTTGAAGATGTCATCAAGGTAGACCCGGACCCAGCAGGGCTGCAATCCTTAAGAACACAGGACGCCCACGTGAGCACACGGGGAGGAGACAGCCGTCTGCATGCCCCGGAGAGAGGCCTCAGGATGGACCAGCCCTGCCAACACCTGGGTCTTGGATTCCAGCCTCGACTGGGAAACAGCAGATACCTGTTGTTAAAGGCTCCCGGTGTGGGGCATTTGCTGTGGCAGTCCTGGCTGACTGGTAACGCGACACAGAACATGCCGGGGGATTTCCAATGGGGCAAGGGTGAGCAGGCCTTGGGAAACCTGAGCCCCCCAGAGAGGGGGTGAACCCTTGGTGAAACCCAAGGGTCAGGTGGACAGGAAGAGATGGGACGGGATGTGGCAGATGGTGAGCAAGGCATGGAAACCCGATTACAGAGGCATGGAATTTCCCAGGCAAGCAAGACAGGGGCGGGGCACCATTTCCTACTCCAGGGGAAACTTCCCGACCCGGGGATCAAACCCACGTCTCTCGCGTCTCCTGTATCACCAGGCAGATTCTTTATACCATTGGCGCCACCCGGGAAGCCCAGAGCCAGGGCATGCACGAGGCTCCTGGAACTCAAAGTCGGCCAGTGGGCACCTCGGGGGCTGGTTGGCACAGCTCCTCATGACAACATCAGGGGGTCCTCCTGGCTCGGCCCTGCCAGGCACAGGGGTGGCTCCATCAGGACCTGCCCGTCAAAAGTCTGGTATCACATCCCCATGGGACAACTTCCAAAAGAGATCCCGTCTCCTCAAGAATGAGGTGACCTTCCCCGGAAGCCCCCCAGCATCCTCCACCATCTCATCACCCAGAAGAGCAAGCTTTTTGGACCCTGTGGCTGGAGGTGGCATTGTGGGGTCAGAGTGCGAGCAATGGGGCAGGGACTGTTTGTACAATCCAGGACGCCTCTCCGGTGACCGAGGGTTCCCGGCCACGGGGTATCGGCTCTCGAGGAAAGAGCTGGGCGGCCACAGGGCAAGCTCAGGGTCCAGGGGCCCTGAAGACCCTGACAAGGCAGCTGAGCCCCTCGGGATGGGGGAGAGGAACGGGCTGCTGCGGGTCTGCCTGACACGAGGCCATGGAGAGGCCAAGACGGGGCAGGAGGGCAAGGGGGCAGCGGGGACGCATGCGAGGGGCTGGGGGCTGGCGGCAGCAAGACCGCCCTCCCACAGAAGCCGCCTCCACGTGATTAAAGCCGGACACAAACGCAAGAGGGGGCTGCCCCGTGCGACCCTGGTTCCTCCCCACCAAATACCATGGAAGAAGGAACAAATTCACTAGAAGTCACATCAGAAAGGTCCCAACCAGACTTTGGCTTTAAAATATGCTGTTTATTTTTTTTTCTCTAATTATAAAAATAATACATTATCCAAGAAAACACAAAATTCTGCCCAGGAACACAACAGCGCCCTCTACCCCGCTGGACGGAGATGAGCTGGCGGTCTCTGTGACGACAGCGGGCTGAGGCCCAGCCCACCCAGAGCTAAGAGGCTGCAGGCCAGGAACACACGGCGAGACGCGCGGATGGCGAGCCGGGCGGAGCTGCAGTGTGTCCACCAGCCTGGAGAAGCCGTGCCTCCCTCCTCGGCGCCCGGCCAGGCCCCGCAGGGACCCTCAGCTGCTGTCAGAGGAGCAGAGCGCACCCAAAAGCTCTGGGAGGATTGTAAAAGCTGGAGTGGACTCGCAGCGACCCCAAGGTGTCTGCAGGCGGAGCAACAGCCTTCAGATCTGCCCCCGGGACTGTTCTTAACGGCAGGGTACCTCCCTGCACCCGGGGACGTGGAAGGGCAGGTCCCTGCTTCTGGGGACAAGGCTGGCCTCTCCTCCTCTCCGCCGGATGCTCGCGTCCACGGAGGTGTCCCGGCTCCCCAGGGACAGGGCCGGCCTCTCCTCCTCTCAGCCGGATGCTCACGTCCAGGGCCCAGGAGGCGATGAGCACAGCGCGGACTGTGGGTGCGGGCATGTGTCCCAGGCCGGGTACCAGGAGACACGGTGAATGCCACGGCCGGAGTCCCAGCCCTTGGACGGGGCAGTCTCTCAGGCCTCGGGTTCCTCTATAAACCGTGCATAATGCCCGCCTCGTGGGCTCCCGAAGGGATGAAATAAAACACCAGGAGCAGGTCCTAAAGCACTGGCGCATCTCGAGGCTCAGTACACGCCACAGTACCCGTCACTCCTCCAGGGCCAACCCTGTCTCCTCATTTTTAAAAAACGGCCCCTCTGAGCACTGACCAAGGCCTAGGGAGTAACAGGGGTGTCTCTTCCATCCAGAGCCAGGTCTGGATCCAGCCAGGCCTGCCAGATAGATGGCGGGGACCCATGAGCTGGCGGCCTGGACCCTGGAGCGGAGACGAGCAGCCTTCGAGGTCTCTGCCAGGGCTGCGCCCAGACTGTGGGGCAGACAGGACCCGACCAGGGACGGGCTTGTGCGGAGGGGCCCCTGGAGTGTGGGGGACGGAGGCCACGCAGGGGGACCTCAGGGAACGGGGCCCTTTCACCGGCCAGACTAGAACCGACCCTGCAAAACGATGAATCCTCCTCACTGAATGCCTTTAATCACATTTTTCAACACTAAACACACGAACATCTGCTCCTTGATGTCCTGTCTTTGTTCATCTGTCGTCCTCAGAATGAAAGTCCAGAACCTTCCGTGCTGATTTTAAAGTCGGGCTGAACGTTCAGTAATGAACAAAACTGGAAACACAAGAGGAAAAAGGTGGCTTTTTAGATGAGTGCAGACTTGTCTCTCGAGGCCACCACCCTCCACGGGGTCCTCGCACCTGCTCCCCAGATGGATCCGGTTTCCTCACATCGAAGTACACGAGAACTTGCTTTATGGACCAAAGACACGGCACGGGTGGCCCCAAAACTGTTAGCAAAGGGGGCCCCGGGGCACCTAGCCACGTCTAAGACAGGCACCCCAATCAGCAAGAAACACCCGGGACACAAACCTGCTTAAACTTCCCTCTAATTCTGTCTAAGTCTTCATGAAGTCTGTCGTAAGTAGGGTCGTCGTAAGGAAACTTCTGAATCATCCCAATCAATGCCTCTAAGACCTTCATCTTTTTGCTGTAAGACACAGAAAGAAAGACCTTCAGTCCCCGGCACGGCAGGCTCGGCCTACGCAGCCAGGCGCCAGGCGCGCTCCTCAAGGCAGTGGTGCTGAGCACGCTGGGGTTCAGGAGCTGGCGGCTAACTCAGTCATCACTAAACAACCTTCCCTCGCCTGGCAACAGGCGCCCGCCCACCCCTGCACCCGACGTCAAGTGAGAACCGCCCTCGCCGGGCCGGCTGCGGCCTGGACCAGTGGCCGAGGCGACGCGACGAGCACCCAGACTACCAGTCCCCCAGGCCTGACCCCGGAGCACAGGACCAGAAGGAAAGAGCGCAGGGCATGGCCACGCCTGTTCCCATCTGGGGGGTTTCTCGGATCTAGAACCTTCACACTCAGGCCCTCGGGGAGTTTAACAGCAGGTAAACACCAAGCCTGCTCCATCCACAGTGTCTGCTATCTGAGTTCAGCCCCCTTCCCCAGAAAGACGAGGGGCTCAGCCTTGAGCAGGATCGCCCTAAGGAACTCAGGGACTTCACGGCTCTGGGCCTCGGCATCCTCATCTGTAAAATGGGGCCCTGACGGCCACCTCCCAGGCTCAGGAGGATCAGTAATTCAGAGAAAGCCCAGGACCTGTCGCAGAATAGTGCTGAGTAACCGTCAGTCTCCACCACACCCTGGAGGCCAGGGCTCCTACTGGGGAGGGCAGGCGCCCTTCTGGGTCACGGGCAAGCGACCCTGCCCACCTTCGATCACCGGCGTCAGGAGCATACTAGTATCTGTTCCCAGGGAATCTCGAAGGACTCATCCTTGGGATGAAGTGACAGCCATTCAAAGCAACCAGGACCGCTCACATTTGCTGCTCTTAAACCAGTTTACAGAATTACGACAGCTGCCTCTCGGGGAAAACACAACCGCGTAGCATCACAGCGAGCGAAGGAAAGCGCCGAGGCACTCAGTCTCCTGCAGATGGAAGGCAGGTGCCACACGTGGGGACGGCTGTGCGTGCCTGGACGCGGGGACCACCGCCCACTCTCAATTCCGCGAGCAGCCCCGCCCGACAGCCGGTCACCGCAGCTGCACCAGATGCACTCAGCCCGGTGAACGGTCAAGGCTGGTGCACGCCCCGGGGGTGTGGCCCGCTCAAGGCTCCAGTAAGGAAAACAGGGCTCCACCGGCCTGCGGGAGGGCAGGGGCATCTCGGGGAGGGTCAGAGAGCCAGGGTCACCCGCTGGACACCCCATCCTGCAGGCTGAGACAGACTCCCACCACCTTCTCCAGGGTGAAGAGTCCCCAGCTTCACTGAGTGAGGACACCCAGGGCTGGCGTTTCTCTTTTAACATCATTACTTGGAACATTAAGCAGCGGAAGGGCCTCTGCCCGCCTTCTATCTTTTTTTAAAAAACTGTAGAGACTCAGAAAATCCAAAAATCACTCCTCTAAGATAAAGGGGTTTAGGCTGCGGTTCAACACCACCAGGCTCTGCTGGTGGGGTGGGGGCAGCAGGGCTCCCACCAGCCCTGACACAACCCACGCGACCCTCCGTCTGATGGAGCCTGGGGGCACAGCTCTAGGACAGGGGGACCCCCTGCCCCGGGTGTGAGTTGGCAACCCCCAGGTACAGGAACCTGAACGCCCTCCGTGAGCCGCAGACACCAGCGCAAGGAGAGCGGAGGTTACTGGGGAATTCCATTCCAGGTGCGTCCTGCCCACCTTCGGGACCGGGAGTGCAGAGGCACCTTCAGCCCTGACCGCCCCCAGGGCCGCCACCCACCGTCCCAACCAGATCATTGGTTACCCCGCCACCCCACTGGGTCTTTAGAGGAAAACCCCCTAGAGGTGGCCTTGCATGACAGACGAGTCTGGTCAGCTCCCACTTGCTCAGTGATGGGACAGCTCAGACAGCAGCGACCCCAGGATCACCCAGACTCTGTCTCAAGTATCCCTGCTCCGACAGGTGAATATTGTGGTGGCACAAATTCTAGAAATTCAGAACATTCCAAATGACAAGTCACATGGACGGGGGAATGCCAGCTTCTGCACTCTGTCACTCACACTCCTGGAGCCTCTTCCCGGCCAGGCAAAGCCACCGGGCATCCGAATGACGCAGAGCAGCCACTGAAGCCCCACGTCCACTCCCCTGAGCAGCAGGACAGCCTCGCACGGAAGGGTGAAGGGTGAAGACCGCAGGTGGGGACACGGTCCCGGGGCTTCGGGAAGCGGCACCCCGCAAGAACAGGTTCAGAAGGCTACAAACGCTACAGAGGACAGCTAAAGGCTCCTTAGTGCTTCCAGGCTGATACGGCAAAACACATGGACCGGGTCATCTCGTTAAACCTTCTGGCTACATTAAAAGTCCCGGTGACGACGGAGTCACCATTTCTGAGCCTGGATCACACCCAGACTACTGTGCTCCGTTTATTAAAAGCTCAGGGGAAATGAGAAGATGAAATCGTTTCTAACCCGCCTTGACTGGCAGGGCCGCTGAACGTCACCGAGTGCTTGGAGGCCTCCAGGGAAAAGGCGGGGGAGATCAGAGGACTCTTGGGAAAACAGTAGGTGTTCATCCAACACCCAAAACGGGCCCAGCACCTTCCAGGTACTATTTCCTGTAAACCTCGTAACAATTTCGTGAGGTTCCTTCAGCCCGATTATCTTCTCCGTGTACAGACGAGGAGACGGGAACTCTAACCACCCGAGATCAGGGTGCACCACGGAGCTGCAACTCCAGCCCCGACGCAGAAGAAGGAAGGAGGCTCAGCTCTACCTGTCTCTCTCAGTGGCGCGACCATGCAGGAGGCCTCTCCAAGCCAACGCGAAGCCTCGGTAGCACCCGATCTGTGAATTGACGAGACATTTAAGAGTGTGATGAGTAACCGAGCGCTGTATTTGATCTAATTATCAGGCTCTCAAAACTAAGGTGGCGGAGGGCAGGAGGGGGCGCAGGGGCGTTTTTCTCATACTGTCCTGGAGCAGGAAATGGAAGTCGGAGGTCAAGTCATCAGCGGGACAGCCGGCCTCCAAGGTGGCCCACTGGGCCCCAGCTCCCTGCTCCGCTGGTACTTGTGCCTGCGAGGTCTCCCGACTGTATCGGGTGGCCATGATGAGCAGAACACAGAAGAGGAGGCAGCATGTGACCTCTGGATTTAGGTGTTAACAGGCAATGTCAGGTCTGCCGTGCCCACCTGGGCCATCCACACAGGGTCAGGAGGACACTTGGGCGGCCCGATGGAGATGCCCACGTGCTGAAGACGGCCGAGGGAGCGGGCCACCTGAGAAGCACCTCTTCTGGCCCCAGGCAAGCCTTCGAGTGGCTGGCGGCCCTGGCTGACTCTTAGCTCCAGCATCAATGCCCTGAGCCAGGACCAGCTGGTCCAGCTGCCCCTGGACCACGGACCCCCAGGACCTCTGTCAGGTGAGTGACACTGGTGGTCTTACGGCCACGTGGCTTGTGCTGATTTGTTTTGAAGCCGAAGATGCCTAATACAGTTCTGATGGCCTCTGACTTCGCTGTTTATGGCCAGTTACCTGTAAGTGAAGGCCTATCCAGCACAAAAGGCAGGAGAAAAGGAAAATCGGGGATTTTATGGAATTCCAATGTAAATACAAATGGCATGCTGTCACACGACACAGGGCGCTCACTCTCTGCAGGAGGCCTGACAGCCACTGAGGTGACGAGGGACTTGTTTTTTCTCCAGCCCACCCGACTGCGTCATCGCCACACAGCCACATGCTCTGCAGGCTCTGTCCTAGGAATATAAATCCATCACATTCTATCTAGCCTACTGCCATTTTAAGAGGCCTGAAACTGTGGCTTGATCATACTGACCATCAAGGTAAACTGTCAACAGTAAAAGAACAGGACTGCTTTCTAAGTGGCGGAGGCAGGGGGTCCCACTCACTTCAGATCCGACTTTAGCTCCATGGAGCGTGCCGTGCTGTCTCCCTTCAATCATACCCAGACTGCTTCCTTCTTCATAGCCTTCCCGGTACCCTTCCCCATGAAACCTGCAATGGAGAAGCAGCAAGGCTGAGTAAATAAACAGGAGAAAGAGGATTCTTCCTAGAAAAATTCTTCTCCTCCACACGACCCAGACTGCAAGACGAGACCTAGTATCACAGAAAAACAAAAGAACCTGAGCCATAAAACTTAGGTCCAATGTCAGCTCCACCTCTCCTGAAGCCTCTGCTTCTGAAGTTGCTGTATTCCTTGAAGCCAAATTCAGCTCTTTTACAATGAGGAAGCCAGGCTGAATCAGGGATTCCCAAACTGGGCAGAATACTGGAAACAACAGGAAAATCCCAAAGATACAAATTCAGGAGCCTCGCCCCTCATATTCAGTAAAGCTCAGGAATCTGCTTTTTGAAATCTCCCCAGTGACTTAGTCAACAACCCCAGTTCTGTGAGTCTGTAAGCTAGACTGTTTGGGCAAGTGCTTCAAAACAAACAGACAAAGGAAACTGCTGTCTGCACCAGGCTTTCCATCACACCTCAGGAGCCAGGCAGGGAGAAGTGCCATCAGGTCACTGCAAAGCGTACCATGCCTGCAGAGACTGCGGGAGAATAAAGGCTCTGAGTTACAGGGGCCGGCAGTGGAACTGTCACCAGCACAACCCACGGGCCACCAAAGTGAAAGGGGCAGGCTGGAGCCCCCGGTGAGGCCAAGTGTGTCACTCCCACTTATCCTGGCTCCCGCCCTGGGAGTGACCTTGCCTCTCCATCTCAAAGACGGGATCTATTCACAAGTAGGGATAAAATAGATAACGGGGGTACAAGGCTTAGTTCAGCATGCAGCTCACAGCAAGTTCCAAATGAACTGTCAGCGACTGATCGCTTACTGCTCCCTCTTTCTCACGGTCGTCTATCGATGTCTCAAGCGGGCCAGGCACTGGAAGACGGCCATCAAAGCAGCCAAGAGCCCCGCTCCTTGTCATAGCCCCTAGGCGCTGCCCAGGGGCTGAGGAGGGAAAAGGATGGCGCCTGACACCTTGATGAGCCTGTCCGTGAATACGGCCGTCTGTCCGCCACTGAGGAACAAGAAAGAGGTGGGAAGCGCCCAGATGGCAGAGGTCCGCCCCACCCGAGGACTGGGCGTCCCTGGAGGGAGGCAGTCACCAGGCCGAGCAGATGCATGGAGGCAGCCCCGGAGGAGGGAGACGGGTCCGGAGCAGCAGCTGGGTGCCTGGCGCTCGCCCGAGAAGCCGACGAGTAAAGGGGAAGTAACAGCATCCTGGGCCCTCCCGCGCCGGCCGCCTCTGCGGCCTCAGGGCGCTCCCGCAGGGCCGCACCCCAAGGCTGAGAGCCGACACGCCAGGGCGGGGGGCCCCGACCCACCCACCTCTCATCTGCCATCACCACAGCGTCTAACAAGTCCTGCTCCCCGGCCATGGCGGCCGCCGACCAGCCCCCGCCCGTCGGGCTCCGCCGCCCCGCGATGGAGCCGCGGACACGCGAGGCCACACCGCGCGGAAACCCCGGCCACTCGCGACGCCGAGTTCACTTCCGAGGGCGGCCGCGCGGGGCAGGCCGGGTAACGACGGCACGCCGGAGGGCCCAGCACGCGCCGGCGCGGGCCCAGGGCGCGTGCGCGGCGGCGGCGGCGGCGCTGAGCGGGGCTAGGCGGGGACGCGGCCCCGCCCCGAGGCCCCTTGCCCCGCCTCTCGGCTCGGGCTGCGAGCTGGTCGGTCTGTCCCCGCCTGGAGCATCCACCTGGCTACGCCGGGCTGACCCATGATCTCCCTTTCCCAAAACCAGGCAGAGGCCACCGAACTGCCAACAGCGGCTCAGAAAGGACCAGGGAAAGAAACTTGGAAAATTTATCAAAGAACCAAACGCCTCCTGGAGCCCTGGCTAAGAGGCTCTGGGCCCGTGGGGTTTGGGGGGGGGGAAAGTTCCAGGAGAGGCAATTCGCGGAATGGAGATACTACCCAGAGAAGAGTGGCCCGGTCCCCCGCCGACCCCGATCCACAGCCAAGGGCCACCCTCCAGGTCCAAGTCAGACTTGAGACCCGCCTAAAAGACCACTGAATCCACCATAACAGTATTCCAGGGCCTTTGGGCTTTTGTTTGTTCGAGAAACAACGCAGGGCTGACCAGACCCCCGGGGAATCTGAAACAGCAGCAGGTGAAAGGAACAGCCTAGGTCCTCTTAACACTCAATGAATAACTGTTGGCATCCGTTTTAAAAACTTTAGAGTTCTTTGAAATCTAGAAATAAAAGTGTTTGTGTTCTTATTCTTGCGGTTGTTTTTAAAGCAAAAGCAGAAACAAAGTGAAAGTGTTGGTCGCTCAGTCGTGTTTGATTCTTTGCCACCCCATGGACCGTAGACTACCAGGCTCCTCTGTCCATGGAATTCTCCAGGCAAGAATATTGGAGTGGATTGGTATTGCCTTCTCCAGGGAAATCTTCCCAATCCAGGGATCGAACCTGGGTCTCCTGCATTGCAGGCAGTTTCTTGACCATCTGAGCCACCAGGGAAGCCCCAGTAAAAGCAGTGAGTGAAAGTGGCTCAGACATGTCCTACTCTTTGCAACCCCATGCACTATGAGTTCTCCAGGCCAGAATACTGGATTGGGTAGCCGTTCCTTCTCCAGGGGATCTTCCCAACCCAGGGATCGAATCCAGGTCTCCCACATTGCAAGTGGATTCTTTACCAGCTGAGCTACAAGTAAAAGTAGAGCTACTCACAATTCAGGCAGAGAGTCAAGAATCAGCACAAAATGATTTGTAATTAACAGCCCCCAGAGCCCTCTCTCCAGCTGAAGACATCCCCCCTTTAAAAAAAAAAAAGCTTCTAGTGTTAGTCCTCCCATTTGTCATTTCCATGGCAGGTACTTCCTGGACACAATTTTTTAAAGGTATGTCAAACTATCAGCCACAGTGGAACATAGATATGAATTACCAAAAGCTTTACCATTAAAATCAGGAGTAAAACAAGAATGCTTTGAACATATCTGGTAGACCTAATCAGTGCAATAAAATTGAGCAAGAAGTCTTAACTATCTTTGGGAAAAAAAGATAACAAAGTGTCATTATTTGTAGATGCGGTGGTCCATCTAGAAATTCCAAAATAAGCATGTAAGACCCTCTCAGAATTCATAATACAGTTCAGTAAGTAGCTCTGCAGTTGAATCGCCAAAAAAAAAAAAATCACTTGCTTTTTGTTATTCTAACAATAATTAGTCGTGGTCTGAGCAGGGATACTCAGGAAATCCACTTTACCATGGTCACAATAAGTTTCTTAGAAATAAGATCTGAGCAGAACCTATGCAAGGATAACTACCTCGCCACCCAAGACAGAAAGAAATGCAACCCCAGTTTCCACATGATCTGGGGGAAATGTGTCAAACTCTAAATTCTATCTGGGAACTCCCCTGTTGGTCCAGTGGTTAAGAATCCACCTTCCAACACAGAGGATGCAGGTTCAATCCCTGGTCAGGGAACTAAGATCCCATATGCCATGGATCAACAAAACCCTTGAGCCACAACAAAGACCCAGTGCAGCCAAAGCGATAAAAAATTAAAATAATAAATAAATAAATTTCATCTGGATGAACAACTTGATAAGAATAACTAAGATGCTTTCGAAAGAGAGAATGATATGGGGGACTTGCTATACCTGATGTGAAAAAAGAAAGTCTCCATAAAAATATGGCTTCCCAGGTGGCTCAGTGGTAAAGAACCCACCTGCCAATGCAGGAGACATGGGTTCTGTCCCTGAGCCAGGAGGATCCCCTGGAGAAGGAAACGGCAACCCACTCCAGGATTCTTGCCTGGGAAATCAGTCCCATGGACAGAGGGGCCTGGAGGGCTGCAGTCCATAGGGTTGCACAGAGTCAGGCACAACTTAGTGACTCAACAACAGTATCCATAAAAATACTGTAGCATGTTTGTTCAAGAATAGACAGATGAATGAAATAGGGATGGAATGACCTGGAAGGGGACTCAGGAAACATAAAACCTTCCCACAGGATAAAAAGCACCACGAATTAATGGGGGAAAGGGATATTCATCAATCACTAAAATGGGAAAACTTGTTGTCTGGGAAAAGTCAAGTTCCATTTATATCTCATGTACTCAGTCACTCAGCCCTGTCTGACTCTTTGTGACTCCATAGACTGTAGCCCGCTAGGCTCCTCTGTCCATGAATTTCCCAAGCAAAGCTATTGGAATGGGTTGCCATTTCCTTCTCCAGAGAATCTTCCCAACCCAGGGATCAAACTGGTATCTCTTGTGCCTCCTGCGTCTTCTGTGTTGGCAGGCGGCTTCTTTACCACTATGCCATCTGGAAAGCTTTTATATCTCATACCATTCATCAAAATAGTTCTAAGTGAATTAAAGGCTTTTTTTAAAGAAAAAAGCAAGACATTTAAAAATTTAGGTGGAACATTCAGGTAAGTATGGAGATTCGTTTTTAACACATGAAAAGCCACAGGGGAAATCACAAAGGGAAAATCAATGCAAATTTATGCAAGTCCAAGCGCGGTAATAGGACTTCCCAGGTAGCTCAGGGGTAAAGAATCTACCTGCCATGCAGAAGGCGCAGGAGACCTGGGTTTGATCCCTGGGTGGGGAAGATCCCCTGGAGAAGGGCATGGCAACCACTCTAGGATTCTTGCCTGCAGAATCCCAGGGACAGAGGAGCCTGGTGGGCTACAGTCCATGGGGTCGTAAAGAATTGGACACAACTGAAGCAACTGAACACACACGCACGTGCAAACATGGTAATGAACAAAATTAAAAACCAAAGAATAATCTGGGAATATATTGGTCATAAATATTATAACTAAAGGAATAATATTTCTGGTTTATGAAGAATCTATTAAAATTGATAAGAAATGAATGCATCTTAACAGGGAAAAGCATGGCCCAAGGACTTGAATATACAATTCACAGAAAAGAAAAACACAGTTTGCTGGCAAACAAAAGCATAGATAGCAAAGACAGACTTACTAGTAGTAAAAAAAAAAAAATGTGGATCAAAAGAACAAGCCTCATTTTTTACCTTTTCAAAATGGAAAAAAAAAAAAAATCACCATTTTTAGAAGGAAAATACTGTCAATGCCCACAGATGTCTAAGTTAAAGCTACCTTTTGGTCTAGCAGTTCAAAAAGATAAGAAGGACATTTTAAATGTTTTTACCCTTCTACTTAGCAATTTCCTTTCTAGGACTTCAGCTCAAGGAAATAAATGGAGAAAAGTGAAAATTTTTGTACAGTGATGTCCAATGCAGTATTATAGCATGAGCTACAAAAGCCAGAAAGAGAAAGCAGCTTATGATGACAAAGTGAGGTTGATGGTACACATATGGTAGGATATTCGCAGTGAAGACTTTTAAGCGCCCACCAAAAATAATATTTGAGATAAGAGTAATGTCACAGAGAAGGCTCCTGATGTTTAAAGAAAAAAAGAAAAAAATCTAGTACACCTAAAACATGATATGGCAAATCAATGATACTTAAATAAAAAATACAAATTAAAAAAAAATAGAAACAAAGGGTAAAAAATAAAGAAAAAACTCTACATATACTCTGATTCCAATGACATTAAATAATTATGCTTTTAAAATCTAAAGTAAGTACACCCAAATGTTAACAGTGATTATATCTAGATTTTGGAATTACAGTAACTTTAAATTTCCTCTTTTATGTATTTTTTCTGAATAGTCCATGTTCACACAGTGAACCATGAGTTACTTAAATAAAAAGTCCAACAAAAATATATTTGTGAAGATGAAGTGAAGTAGACTTTGTATTATTTTGTTATCTTCTCTTTGTTAGCTTTTTTGTCCATTTTTCATAAACAAATGAAATCACAAAACATTTGGGATATAAGAAAAAGGGCAAAACACGCAAGCAAACAAATCCACTCTGGTCACCGATTCATTTTTGCTAATTTTGTCACATTTTCCCCTTTGAATTTCCACAGAAAAATAATCTTCATATATGTACAACTTTACATCCATCCCTGCCAAACGCTTCATATTGTATTGCAAACATGTCCCAAGTAAAGGAACTGTTCTCTTATTATTACATACATAAAATACACGTCATGATCATAAACCATTATCTGCTGAAAGAAAGTAAAAGCTCTGTCTTTTGGCAGAGGGAAACTGATATGTGATGAGAAAAAAAAGAGACCAATTATACTGTATTGGGAAGATCCCCTGGAGGAGGAAAGGGCAACCCACTCCAGTATGCTTGCCTGGAAACTTCCATGGACAGAGGAGCCTGGTGGGCTACAGCCCATGGGGCAACAAAGAGTCGGACACTACGGAGCACTCACACAGCCATACGGTAAAACTCATGGGTATAAAGACTTGTACAGAGGAGCACGAGTTAATTTCAAGCTTTAAAGACGTGTGCAAAACTTTGAAAGATTGTATGTGTTACAAAAATCAACATTACTGACTCAAATTGTTAGTCGGAAAATTAAAGCTTTACAGGGATTCCCCCCAACCACTGCATTTATTTCTCTGGTTGTGTTCCTAAAATATTGATTTGAACACAGATTGTCTTAATGTTGAAGGCCAAGAGTTTGATTACATTATTTTGGCTTTTTAATATTGTTTTCACAAATTGCCTCCTTTTCTAACAAGGACCAGACTTTAAAGCTGGGGCCTTGAAGGTAGAAAAAGGCTGTTTTAAGTTCAAATATAATTTATTGCAAAAATTTTAGCTAAATTTCAAATTTGGTGTCTGAGTTAGCAACTGAACCCATAAAAAGCAAGCAGGAAAAATCGGAATTGATCTCTCTCCTTGCTAAATTAGTTTCTGAGAAAACGCTGTGATGATTGCTTGTATTTATCTCAGGAACTGAAATTTCTCCATCTAATTGAATGGAATAAAAAATGGTTTGGGGAATTCCCTGGTGGTCCAGTGGTTAATGCAGGGGACATCCAACCAGGTTTGACCCCTGGTTGAGGAACTAAGATCCCACATGCCACTAGGCAGCTAAACCCCAGCGCCACGACAGCCGAGCCTGTGCTCCAGAGCCCGTGGTCTGCAACAGGAAAAGCCACCAGCAAGAAGCCCGTGCACCCCGACTAGAGAAAGCCCGTGTGCAGCAGCGAAGACCCAACACAGCCAAAAATAGCGAATTTAACATTAAAAACAAGGGATGGTTTAAATGGGCACAGTGAAAACTATCTAAAAAGGTTTTCAAGGGTATAGAAATTTCTAAGCTTCCATTCTTAGTTTCCTCGGAAAGCTACCTTAGCTGCACTTATTCCAATAATTTCAAAACATTAATATTAAATAATTCATAACAAAAATATAAAGGAACTGGTATAATCAATCAACTCCCAGTGAAATGAAAGTCGCTCACTTGTGTCCAACTCTTTGTGATTCTATGGACTATACAGTCCAAGGAATTCTCCAGGCCAAAATACTGGAGTGGGTAGTCTTTCCTTTCTCCAGGGGATCTTCCCAACCTAGGGATTGAACCCAGGTCTCTCACATTGCAGGCGGATTCTTTCCCAGCCAAGCCACAAGAGAAGCCAGGGATCTACCATATTAACAAATAAAACACAGTCTTAAAAATAGAAATGTTTTACATTTTCTTCTTTCAAAGAGAACCAAGTGGATATAACTGAAATGAAAAACTTCATCAAAGTTAATTGGAAAGTGTTGTCTTATTGGAAATGATTTTTTTTTTAATTTTTATATTCACAGTGAAATAGTAGGCAACCTCCAAAATGAACCAAACCAAACCTGATCTGAGCTCTATAGTGGCTGAACTGGAAACATGACCATTTTATTAGAATGAAAAAAAACAAACCAAATTAAAAACAAAATGTGTCATTTGCTCCTGTGGTGGTTGGAGAAGGAACCTGCAAGTTATACTGACTGTTTTTTATATATGTTCAAAACTAATTTGCAGAGTTGGGGTCCCTTTCCTAGTGTAGATTAATCCTATCCAAGTCCTTGAGTTACAGAACTTCCTCTCTGGGGGATAGGATTGATGAGATCGTGAATAATATTTATTTTCTATGTTTTTATGAATTTGATCTTTTTTTTTTTAATCACAAAGTAGCATAGCCTTTCATAAGCAGGGGGGAAAAAACGAATTTCAATGTCTTAAACAGAAGTCATTAGATGACAACTCTCTTCCAGGAAACAAATCTCTGTCTTGTACTACAGGCATCACAAAGTGAAAGTGTCAGCCTCTCAGCTGTCTGACTCTTTGCAACTCCACAGACTGTATCCTCCGTCCACGGAATTCTCCAGGCAAGAAAACTGGAGTGGGTAGTATTCTTCTTCTCTAGGGTCTCTTTCCAACCCAGGGATCGAACCTGGGTCTCCTGCATTGCAGGCAGTTTCTTTACCAACTGAGCCACCCATAAGTGAAAGCACAATTGGAAAAAGAGATATTCTCCAGGCTTTCATCCAAGTGTGACCCGCTGGGGCAGGGGACCAAGAATCCAAGGGTTGAGTCCCTTCCAGCCTTTCTGGCGGAGTCTCTTCTGCTCCTTGTCTGCCAGAGGCGCTCTGGAGCCTGCCTGCAAGGGCCATTTTCCGCCTGCCTCCACAGGAATCCCCCGCAGCCACGAAGCAGGAGACGTGGGGTGCGGTGGGAGCCTGCGTTGTGACCAGTGACCACCAGTAGGGGTCCCCTGAGCGCCTTAAATCATGGGTCCCCAGTCTGCGACCTGAGGAAGGGGGTGCACAGCAGGAGGTGAGCGGTGGCAAGGGAGCCATCAGGGCTTCACCTGCAGCTCCCCATTGGTCCCCATCGCGAGCATTACCTCCCGAACCCCCGCCCCACCCACCCACCCCACCCCCACCTGGTGGAAAAATCGTCTTCCAAGTACCCGGTCCCTGGTGCCAAGAAGATTGGGGATCGCTGCTCTAGAGAAGGGCCCTGGCCAGCAGGGGGCAGTCTCTGCCCCCGAGGCAGCAGAGACCCCTGCGTGGTCGAACCGCCCAAGCCAGCGCTCTGCCGGACAAGCTCTGAGATGCGGCTCAGACTGCGCGCGCCCAGCCCCCCAGCTCCCGGTCGTTCATCTTTCTGCCTCTACTCTGGGATCCACAGAGGCAGAGCCTTCCATTCCAAGCGCTGGAAGGAGAAGCAGGGTTGACCGCCACTTCCTGTCTTGAAAGGAGAGTCCCAGCAGGCAGGGCCGGACTCCTTGCTTCCTCAAAGCCAGGCGGGTCCCCGAGGGTCACGCGCTGATCGAGGAGCAGAGAGGTCTTGGGGAGAGTGGCACAAAGCCGGGGCAACAAGCCCTCCGCTGCGAGGAGGGCTCACCTTGTGTTCGGCCGAGCTAGGCTGGGCTGCAGGGGTAGAGAAACGCCGCTGTCTCAGGGGCCTGATCGGGGAAGGGCTACTTCCCACTTTCACAGAATCCATTACGGGCCGGGCAGTGCTTACTCCAAGCCCAGGGGCTTCCCAGATGGTGCAGTGGCAAAGACCCCGCCGGCCAGTGCAGATATGAGATGCGAGTTCAATCCCTGGGTCAGAAGACCCTGCCTGGAGCAGGAAATGGCAACCCACCCCAGTACTCTTGCCTGGGAAATCCCACGGACAGAGGAACCTGGCGGGCTGCAGTCCATGGGGTCGCAGAGTCAGGCACGACTGAGCAACTCAGCCCAGCAGAGCACGAAGGTGGCAAAGACGAGACGAACACTCTTGAGTGTGTTAATAGATACCCAAACCGCAGAGCTCGTTTCGTGCAGGGTCTAGCACCATGCAGACACCCAGTAGATGGTTGCTGAATGAGTAAGCAAGAGGCTGCTGAACAAATAAGCGAGGGGACCTGGGTGGCTGAGAAGGAAACCCTCAGCCCCTCGGAAGGAGGAGGGGCCAGAGGCTGCCATGGCTGGGTTTGCCCACCGAGCCTTCCCGAAACAGGTGATCAGAGAAAGGGTCAGAGCTCAGAGATCTCCCACCAGGAGGGGAGGCAGCCCTCTGGGAATGTACTGCACCTGGAGAGGCAGAGCCTCGGACCAGGCAGTGACCGGTCCAGCCAGGCATGGTGTTCCAGAGAGGGAAGGGGCCTGCTGAGGTCAGATGATGGGCGAAGGCACACCCAGCCGTCCTGCAGGGCACATGTGACTCATGGCCCCAGAGTGGGGGCCCCCCAGTATCTCCACGTGGCTGACACCCCTTCCTTTCCTCAGAGGGGCCTCAACTCTGGGCCTGCAGTGTCTGCCTCCCAGCTCTGTGGTCCCTCTGGCCTGGGACCCCTCTATGGATTTTCCCGGGGCCGCAGCCCTTCCGCCTCTAGGCAGCCCCTGCCCCTTCCCCGTTCTTCCCCAGCTGGAGGGTGGCATCTGGAAGGCCCCCAGTCAGGCCCAGAGTGGAGTCTCTGGCAACAATGGTGGGGTGGGGTTGGGGGGGACGGCCCTCAGCAGCCTGCCCTTCCCTCCTCCTCTCTGCAGCAGGAAACCAGCTTTGGCGGTATCTGAATGGAGTCTCACCCACTGGGCGTTTGTAGAATTCCCCTGCCCGTGCCTCAGTGTGCCCATCTGTAAAACGGGAGGGATATTGACACCCACCTAGGAGGGCTGATAAAAGGGTGAGTACTTGGCAAGTGGGAAATAGGATGAATTCATAAATATTATAAATACATTTTTAATGTCAGGTTGCAGAAGGGATGAAGCTTTCCTCTCCTTTCACACTCTTCTGGAGTCCATGATAGGAGACTCTCCCACCTCCCTGGGTTGTCTGTGAAAGAGTATGGGTGGGCTGCCGCTGATCAACCCCAGGATGAGATCTGAGCTCGAGGCTGGAGAGGATGGTGCGGGAGCTGGCAACGCGAGTCTCGGGATCTGGAGCCGCCACCTGGGGGCACCATTGCGCTTCGGATGGGCCCCCGCCTCACCCGAGCTGCCGCAGCCCTGGGCCAAGGCTCCCGTACCCCCCAGTTGCTGCCAGCCTACGGGTGCTGGAACATTCTACTCCCCAGCTTCCACTTCTCCAGCCCGGAACCATAACCACGATAAGGATCCACCGTGTGTCAGACCCTCTTCTCAGGTTATCACTGTCATCTTGAAAGCAGACGTGGAGACGGAGTTTATCAGCATTACTCATAGAGGCTCCGGACAGCTACCGGGCTTTGAAGAGGCAAATGTCCAAGCCGGGGCGGGGGGTGCAGCCACCTCTGTTGCAACTCGACTCAGCCCCCTGACTACCTGGCCCCGACTTGGGACTGATCACGGAGCCCTGGCCCACTGCCCCTGTTGGCTCAGGGCCCTCAGATCACACATGGGGAGAAGAAAACGTGGGCCAGGGAACAGGTCACCCGGTTCTGATGGGAGAAGCCAGGTTATGGAGCCCCGCCTTCCAAATCCCCCAGGGGTGTCCTGGAGCCTGGTCCAGCCAGATAGCTTGAGTCTGAGTCCCACTTCAATCCAACGTCTCAGAGTCCTCATTGCAGGCTGGCGCTGGGGTCCAGGCTTCAGCCTCAGTCACTCCACCTGGGGCCCCGGGCCCAGGATGGAAGAGCTGAGAAGGAAGGAGGTGACCCCCCTGCTCACCAGCCTGCCGCAGGCCCCGCCAGCCCTTGCCGATGGGGACGGCAGGGCCCCAGCCCGGGCTGGCGTGGGCGGTGGGCGAAGCTCTGGATGAGGCACCATCGCTACATGTCCTCAGTCTCCCCAAAGTAAATGGAGGTCGGGGCTTCTGAGAAGTCTGCTTCTGCGCCCAAGCACGTGTGAACGTCACCCCTGGATAAACTGAGGATGCAGTCTGACAGCCTCTGGCAATGTTTTAAATGTGCATGCACTTTCCAACACAGGGGCTCCCCTGGTGGCTCAGATGGTAAAGAGTCTGCCTGCAGTGCAGGAGACCTGGGTTCGATCCCTGAGTCGGGAAGATCCCCTGGAGAAGGGAAAGGCTACCCACTCCAGTAATCTTGCCTGGAGAATCCCATGGATGGGGAGCCTGGCGGGCTACAGTCCAAGGGTCCCAAAGAGTCGGACACAACTGAGTGACTAACAGTTTCCAACACAGCAATTTTACGAATGTCTGTCCATCAGTCGTGGGTTGGATGGCCCCCAAAAGATATGATTAAGTCCTAACCTCAGAACCTGTGAATGTGACCTTAGTTGGAAAAGTGTCTTTGCAAGCATAAGGCTCTGACGGCAAGAGCACCCTGGTTACCCACAAGGCCATGAATCCAGGGTCCAGTGTTATATTGTGACGCAGAGAGCAGACACGCGGGGGAGAAAATGAGGCCACGTGAGGATAGAAGCAGAGGCTAGAGGGACATGGCCACAAGCCCAGGGACTCCTGGAGCCCCCGGAAGCTGGAGCAGAGCTCTGCCCACACCTCCATCTCAGACCGCTGGCCTCCAGAGCTTGTTGTTCAGTCCCTCAGTCATGTCCGTCTCTGTGACCCCATGGACTGCAGCACGCCAGGCGTCCCTGTCCTTTGCCATCTCCCAGAGCTTGCTCAAACTCATGTCCATCGAGTTGGTGATGCCATCCAACCATCTGTCGTGCCCTTCTCCTCCCCCCTTCAGCCTTTCCCAGCATCAGGGTCTTTTCCAATGAGTCAGCTCTTCACATCAGGTGGCCAAAGGATTGGAGCTTCAGCTTCAGCATCAGAACTGACCCCCAGAACTGGGAAGGACAGAGCCATGCTGTTGCGGTCTGGTGTGCGGGCCTTTGCTGCAGCAGCTCTAGGAAATGACCCCAGCACCCTGGAGTGCTTGCTGCTGAGCATGGAGATGTGTTCCAGGACGTCTCTGCTGATAAGGGCGAGGCATCGCAGCATCCATGGGCTTCCACGGAGCGGTCCATGCATGGGATGGAAGCCGGTGTAGACAAAAGGCGGGCTGGGTTAGTCAGTGTGGTCTGGAAGGTCTGCACTGAAGTGTGGGGGTGAGATGACTCCAGGCAGAGTCTAAGGGTGAGGGGTCAGGAGGGAGAAGCTGTGGGGAGGCCAGAGAGGCTGGTGGAGAGGTGGGCGGTGGGGAGGGGGAGGGGGGCAGGGAGAGGAGAGGAATGAGGCAGGGGTGACATGGACTTGGGACCACAGTGGTGCCAACCACGTATGTACCCACGCACTCAGCGGTCCAGAGTGGTGAGAGGGTGGGCATCAGCGGGTAACAATGGGGACAGACTTATTCTCTGCCCATAGAATTTGCTCTTTCACAAAAATAACTCATGCATCATTGTTCATGTAATTAAATACACACCTTTCTAAAAGGAGAATCACGTTGAATCTAAAGACCCAGGTTTGAGCCCCCATTTTACAGGTGAGAAGGTGGAGGCCCAGAAAGAACCAAACTCTGCAGCTGATGTCAGAATTGTGACTGGTAAGGACCCTTCACCAGGCTCCTCACTCTCCCTAGTTGCCCATCAGCCTCCCACCAGAAGAGAAGCTACACCCTGCAGGCCTGGAGCGGGTACAGGTTCCATGGGCTCACGTACTGGGAGTCTGCAGGTATCCAGGGGCTTGGGGGGTACAACAGGGACTGAACATTAACACCTGCCTCGAGGAGCTTACGTGCCAGGAAAGATGTGATGTGTGCAGGTTAAATTCTCTCCTCTGGACTGCATTCTCAGCAAAAGTAAGTGGAGATTTTTATTAATTTGCTAAGTATGTCATGGGCTTCCCTGGTGGCTCAGTGGTAAAGAAGCCACCTCCGAGGCAGGAGACGTGGGTTCGATCCCTGGGTTAGGAAGATCCCCTAGAGAAGGAAATGGCAACCCACTCCAGTATTCTTGCCTGGGAAAGCTCACGGACAGAGGAGTCTGGTGTGCTACAGTCCACGGGGTCGCAAAGAGTCAGACATGACTTAGCGACTAAATAACAAGTGTGTGCCATAAGAAAATTACCCTGGAGTCCCACTTCTGGGCACATATCCGGAGAAGACTCGAATTCAAAAAGACACAGGTACCCCAGTGTTCACCGCAGCACTATTTACAAGACCTGGGAGCAGCCTAAATGTCCACTGACAGAGGAATGGATCCAGAAGACATGGCATATATGTGTATAATGGCATAGCATCATATTCAGCCATAAAAATGAAATAAAGCCATTTGCAGCAACATGAATGGACCTAGAGATTTTCACGCTAAGCGAGTAAGTTAGAAAGAGAAAGACAAATACCATATGATATCACTTATATGTGGAATCTAAAATATCATACAAACGACCTTTACAAACCAGAAATAGTCTCCCATAGAAAATGAACTTATGATTACCAAAGGGAAACGGAGAGAGAAATTAATTAGGAGTTTGGGATTAAAATATACACATTACTATATCTAAAATAAACAACAAGAACTTACAGTATAGCACTGGAAACCATCTTCAATATCTTATAATAGCCACTAATAGAAAAGAATCCATTAAAAAGTACATGGACACAGATATCTGTATATATGTGTGTGTGTGTAGAACTGAATCACCTTGCTGTACGCCTGAAACTCATACAACGTTGTAAATCAACTATTTCAGTAAAACCACAGACGAGGGCCTCTCTCCGCGGCTGGCAGCCCGTCTGGCCCCACGTCCTCTTGTGGTTTTTCTCTATGCGTGTATCTGGTGTCTCTTCTTCTCCTTATAGGGACACCAGTCATGTTGGATGAGCAGCCCACCCTAATGACCTCTTTTTAGCCTCTTTAAAGACCTTATCCCCTCATACAGTCCCACCCAGAAATACACTGGGGGTTACAGTGTCAACATGTAAATTTGAGGAAATGCAATTCAATCCATAATACAGATACATGTGCAGACTCTATCCTCCAGTTCCATGCTGTGTGTACTTCCTTCCGGAGAGGTCCCCTGCACACAGAAGCCTCTAGGAAGGATGGCAGTTGGTGACATTTGCCTTAAATCCTAGATGGGAGGAAGAGAAAGTAAGCAGGAAGCTTAAAGTTATCAAGGAAGCTAAGAGGGAGGATGGAAGGAAGGAGGGAAGGAAGCTTATATAGATGTTATGGGTGGATGGATGGATGGATGGATGGAGGGTTGATTTAGATGGATGGATGGATGGATGGATGGATGGATGGATGGGAAATGGATGGTTGGTTTAGATGGATGGATGGATGGGTGGAGGATAGGTGGTTGGTTGGACAGATGGATGATGGAAGAACAGATGGATGGATGGCTGGATGGCTGGATGGAGGATGGATGGGAGAGGAAGAGGGAAGACGTTGAGTTCTATCTTTTTCCAGCGAGGCCGCCCCAATAACAGAATTACAAAGACCAGGTGGCTCCAAATGGAAGGAGGACAGACATTCTCAGATGAATGGAAACTAGAAGGATTTGTTGCCAGTGACCTTACCAGTAAAGAATGGCTAGAGGAGGTTCTCTGAAGATTCAAAGAAATTAGAAGAAGGTTTGGAACTTCAGAGAGGAAAGAAGAGGATCAAACTGACCAGATATTTGTTGCACCAGGGGGTAAATATTAAGACATGAGACTATCCTTCTCAGGTGTTTCTTAAAATCCTGTTTGATAGGTTTATCAAAAATGATAACATCTGGTGCGGGACTCAACATTTGCAGAGAAAATACTTAAGGCAACTGTATGTAGAAGGTGAATCAGGGAGCAAAAGATCTAAATAAAAAGACACTTCCTCCCCTCCACTCACATCATGAAACGCCTGGAATCTCCTTTCCCCCAGCGGGGATCCCCACAGTGAGGGGGGCTGTGTGTGTGTCTTGTGACACCCAGAGTCTCTCTCTCTCTCTGTCTTTCCCTCTCGTTGCAAAACACACGCCTCCTCTCCACATTCCTGTAGTCGAGACTCCTTTCTGTTGCCCCGATAACGCGGGAGGGGAGTCTCAAAGTGGGGCTGGGAGGTTGTCCTGCCCTCTGTGACTGGGCGAGCAGTTTCTGCATCCTGGCGAGGGGCGGGGAGGGGGGTGCCACGTTCACCCACCCTTTAAATCTCCCGGTCTTCTGGATCCTTTCTAGATGGCATGTCCTGACCCAGAAGAGAGACGCCCAGCCAATGGAGCACTAAGTGGAGTGTGTGTTAGTTGTTGAATCGTGTCAGACTCTTTGCGACCCCATGGACCATAGCCTGCCAGGCTCCTCTGTCCATGGAAACACCCAGGCAAGAATCCTGGAGTGGGTGCCCATTCCCTTCTCCAGGGGATCTTCCCGACCCAGGGGTGGAACCCGGGTCTCCAGCATTGCAGGCAGATTCTTACCATCTGAGCCTCCAGGGAAGCTTCAGCCCTAAATGGTGGATGTCGGCATTTAGAGGGAATCTCTGCCCCCCTGGGTTTTCCTCTAGGCAGCCAATCCCCCCTCCATCCCAGAGCTTCATGGGGACGACTCCTCCGGGGGCTGGAGGAAGTGACACAGCGCTGGCCAGCCAGAGCATCTTGGCCCCTGGCGGTAGAGATCTGGTGCGGAAAGAAGATGGGACATGATAAGGGTCCACCAGACCTGATTCTGGGACTCCTGCAGGAGCCGTTGATAGGAGAAACTTGTGCATCACCCCTACTGACGCGGCAGGAGGATGGAAGAGAAGCCGGCACCGCTGGGGACGGCCTCGTCATCACGGAAGAAGGAGATGCCTGGGAGCAGGGACGAGACCCTGACCCCAGATGCTGTCTGGGCCCAGACCCAGCATGCACAGGCCTTGCCGGGGTGTTACGACTCT